CGTGTGTGGGGCGCAGGGGTGTCATCGCCGGGCACGCCAGGGACTGTGCCTTCTGGGCGGTGCCTCTGATGGGCTGTGTGGCCCCAAGCAAGGCGCCGACCCTCTCTGGGCCTCTCTGGAAGAGGGGCAGCGTGGGGCTGCCTCCTGGGGCGGCTGTGCGCCTGGCCCCCGCGCTGCCCCCTCCGGGCCCCCGGCCCCGGCTGAGAGGCCCTCTGTGGCTGCAGGACGGTGTGGCAGGTGCTGGTGGGCGGCTGGTGCGGACGCTCCCGGCTTGGCTGCGTGTGCGGGGAGCGTGCGGGCGCCCTGCTCCCGGGGAGAGACGCGCTCAAATGTGCGGCAGAGGACGGAGCAGATGGCTGGAGTCTTGTCCGGCCCTCCATCTGCGCGGCTCACGCGCCGGTGACGATGGTCCCCCCCTCCTGGCACCTTTCTCCCGGAAAGCCTGTGCGCGGAAGCGCTCCTCTCCCGGGCAGCGTGTGTGTCACAGGGGACGCGGGGGGGGGGGGGCGGCGGGTGGCCAGGAGGGGCTGAGTAATCCGAAGTGCCAGTGTCTTCTTGGGACCTCGTCCCCAGCTCGGGAAACGTGGGCTCCCGCTGGCTGGACCGGCTTCCTGTGTGGGTGAAGCTGTGGGTGTGGGCCTGGGGTGGGGAAGCAGCCGCCCCCCCCAGCACGTGGACGGGAGGTCTTCTCTGGCCCTGGGGGGCGGGGGGCGGGGTCTCCGAGCTGGGTGTCCCCGCGTCAGGCCGAAGGGAGCAGTGAGCTGCACTGACAGGTCCCCGGCTCGAGCAGCCCTGGGGACCCGAGGGTGGTGGACCCAGACTGGGTGCCCAAGGAAGACCCCATCAGCAGGCGTGTCCTTAGGAGCCACCGCAGAGCCCCCGACTCGGGGACGCTGGGGCACACCATCCCGGGAGCCCCCCCGGGCTGCTCGGATCAGGGACCTGCAGACACACCTCCAAGTGACCCAGGGAGGCGGCTCCATGCCGATCGGCAGCCGGCCCGGCCCGCGTGCCTGCCCATCAGCTGCGCTGCTGTGTGCTGTGGCAATTCTCCCCGGAGTTCAGGGTCCGGCCATGAAGGGCTGATGAGCCCCCTCCCAGCCAGCAGGGTGCGCTGGGGGAACAGCCCAGAGGAGAGTCAAGGGAGCCCAGGGAGGGGGCGCCTTGGGGCAGGAGGGAGGGGCTGGCCGCTGGCCGCTGGCCCAGCCCGGGACAGGGGAGCGGGGAGGGGACCTGCCTGAGGTGCGGCAACGTTGGGGGGCCGGCGCGCCTCTGTGCTGAGTCCCCGGGGCGCCCCTGGCGGCCGGCTGCCCTGGCCGGCGGGCCAGCAGCTGGGGGCAGCCCGGGTTCGGCCTTCCCGTTCCCTGTCTCCTCTGTGGCTCTGGGCCCGCGCTGCCCGGTGGCTGTCCAGCCCTGCCAGCGGCTGCCCGGCCCCCCTGCCACCCGGCGGGTGTGTGGTGGGGCAGGGCTGGCTCCACCAAAGCCTCCAGGACCCCTCCCTGGGAGCTGCGCCCCCGACCCTGCGGGAGTTTCCTCTCCTCCCGACAGGCGGGCCGGGCTCCATCTGGTGACTTTTCAGGAAAGAGCCCCCACCCCGGGTGCCGCTGTGCGCCTCTCTTCCTTTCAAGCTGCTCCCCGAGGGCCCCTGGGCCCGTCCCCCCGCCCAGGAGCTCTGACCGGGGTGGGCGCCGTGGCCCTCGCCCCGGCCCCTCCCAGCCTCCGCCCTGCAGCCCGGCCAGGGGCCCCCGAGCGCAGGAACCAGGCACCTGCGAGGGCAGGAGGCTGAGGGCGGCTATTAACAGCGCCCTCTCCACAGGACTGCCGCGTGTGATTGCTGCCGCCAAAGTCGCTGGGGTGGGGACCACCTCGGCCACAGGGGCGGGGGAGCTGCCCTGGGAGGGGCCCTCTCTGAGGTGGGGTGGCCTGGCAGGGGCAGGGCGGCCCCGGGGCCTGCCCGGCAGGCAGAGGGGGGCCGGGGCTGGGAGCCTGCTGCGCGGACACCCCAGGTCCCTCGCGGCATTGGAAGGGGCTTCCGGAGGGGCTGCCTCGGGCACAGAGCACTTCCGCCTGCCACTTCGCCCTGTCGACTCAGGCCCAGGGCCACAGGAGCCGGGACAGCTGTGCCCGTCACGGGCGATTTACTCCTTGCCGGGCGACAGGGCAGGACGGTCCCGCTGGCCCTCCCTGGGGCTAGGAAGGCACCAGGCTGCTGCCGTCGCTGCCCCGAGCTCCCGCGCTCAGACGTCTCCTTGGGAGCTGGAGGCACAGGCCCAGACCCAGGGCCGGTCCCTTGGCGGGAGATCAGGCCGTGGCCGGCCCTTGGAGCGGGCTCCCACCCCCGGCACCCTGGCCGGCCCTGGCTCCCGGGCTCTGGAGCTCCGGCCAGGAGGGGGTGGGTGTCCAGGGGCTGGCTCCGTTGGCCTCCTCGACGCCGAGTTCGGCGCGGTGGGGCCGGGCCCCTGCCCACAACACTCGTCTCCCCTGCTGCTGGCCTGCGCCGCCTGCCTCTCGAGGGGCTTTGCGGGGGGAAAGGGCACAGCCTGGCCAGCATGACCCTCCCGCCCCCGCTGTCCCCCTCTTGTCTGGGACCAGTGGACACTGTGCTGACCCTGCCAAGTGATCCTCAGGCCAGCCCGGCCCCCACGTCCCCAGGCCTGGGCACAGCCACCCTGCAGGGGGCCGGCGTGAGGAGCCGACTTGCACTCTCTCATAAAATAATAGTTGGAGGAAGGAGGCACCCAGACACTGGCAGTCCCCCCAGCTGCGTCTCAGATGCGTAACCCATCCCGGCCCCCTGTGTGCGGCCGGTCCCCGCTCCGGAGAGGTCTGGCCAGGGGCTGGCTGGTTGCTGCGTGCTCTTCGCCGCCTTTGTCTTTCCGAGCACAGTCTAAGCGCCTCCTGTGTGCTGAAGGGGCAGCAGATTAGAGAGAACAAGAGGAGCGAGGGGCCTCGGGGCTGCCAGGGAGCCCCGGCCCCGTGTGTCCCATGGTGGCTGACCCCCTAAGTACAGCAGACACGGGAAGTGCCCGCTGGAAGGCCCCTTTAAAGGCAAAGAAGTCTGAGGGCGGAAGGGGCCGGAGATGGTGAGCAGGGCCGGCGGGGGGCCGGCGGGGTGTGTGCCCCGACGGGGCCCCGGACGACGCCCCCAGGCCGCTGGAGCACGCTCGCCCCACGGCGGCACGGGAGAAGCGTGCGGAGTGCGTGCACGCGCCCGCGCCCTGCCGGGGAGGGTCTGCCCGCGCGAGCGTGAGCCCCGCCGGGAAGCCTGTGGGTGTGCCCCCTGCGTTTTGTTGGAAGACTGAATCGCTTTTCCGGCCTCCCCGGGGAGAGGCGCCGCGTGGACCGCCGCTAGCCTCCTGTCCCTGCCGCGTGAGGGCGAGACCCGTCTGCGCCGTGGAGACGAAACGAAGCCGACGCCTGCTCCTGACAGCGAGGGCCCTTCCCGGGCGCTGCTGCAGCCGCAGCTCCCGAGGCTGCTGCCCGCCCTGTGGGGCTCGAGGACGGCGGGCGGGGGGCCGGCCGGCGTCGGAGCTCAGGTGGGGCCTCCCCTGCCCGGGAGCTGCCAGGGCCAGGCGTCCCGGCCGAGGGGGCGCCCTCCGCTGCTGTGTCCGCGTGGCCGGCCCTGCCCGTCCGTCCGTCCATCTGGGCTGGCACGTCTGTGCACCAGGCTCCCCCAGGACCGGCGTGTGGCCGAGCCCCACGGAGCTGGACGGCGTGACTGTTCCAGTGACGGTGTGCCCGGCGCTGGCTCCGTGTTGCCAGCCCCGTCTGGCTTGGTGGCCCTGGCGCTGGGGCCCAGCCTGCGCTCACCTGCGCCGGGGTGCCTGTGAGGGCCAGTCCGGGCCAGAGGAGGGGCGGAGCTGGACAGGAGCGGAGGCCCTGCCGGGTGCCTGGGGGCCACGCGCTGCAGGCGTGCGGGGCCTGTCAGGCAGCCCCGAGGGGACGGGGTGCGCCCCCGGGTGCAGGCAGTCGGAGGGCGGGGCGGCGCTGCCTCCGGGGTCCTGCGGGCCCTGGGGCCCCAGCTGTGGGCAGCGGCTGCAGTCCTGGGGCTGCCGGTCCGTGGCCGGCAGGGGCGGGGGGAGGTGCCCTGGGTCCTCCCTGCCGTCCGGCCGGATCAGCTGCCCTTCGCCTGCCTGGTCAGCGGAGGGCCATGGCCCTGGGCCGCCGAGGAGGCCTCAGGGAGCGCGGGGCGCGGGGGCCGGGCCGCCCGGTCAGCGGCGCCCAGCACCTGCCCGGGCAGACGGGGCAGCCAAGCCCCGCGCATGGCGGCGGGAGGCCACCGATCAGCTAGTGGCTGACAGCCCAGGGCGAGGCCTGGGGAGGGCAGGGGGCGCTTGGCAGCTTCGGGGCTGGGAGGCTCAGGCTGGGGCGGGAGTGGGCGGAGCCTTGCGTGTCTGGTGCGGAGGAGGCAGTGGGGGGCCTGGCCCCAGCAGGGCCTGCGACTGTGCCCCAGAGACGGCACCACGAGGACCGCCGCCTCAGGCCTCACGGCTGCGTTCTCCGGGCTTCCAGGGCGGCTGCCGGCCTGTCCCGCCTGCTCACACAGCCCGAACACAGGGGCTGCCTGTCCGGTCCCCTCCTGGCCCCCGGCTGGGAGCTCCCGGGGCTTAAACCCTCTGGCCAGCTGGGCTGGCTCCCGGCTCAGATTAGCGCAGGGGATTGGGCAGGAGGTGGGCGGGGCGGGCAGGCGAGAGCTTCCCTGCCCACACCCCCCAAAGGGTGCTGTTCCTCTGGGGACCTGTCCGCAGTCCTGCTGCGTGGGGGCCTGGCCTGCAGGCCACCTAGGACAGCAGGTGACAGGCAGGCCGATGCCAGAGGGGCCTGGGAGCAGCCTTGCGGGGCCTTGGGGACTCCGGCAGGGAGGGGGAAGAAGCAGGGGAGAGGAGGGGCCCGCGCGGCGCCACCGGCCGCCCACCCACCGCCGCCGGCCCCACGGCCGAGGCGCGCTGGGGCGCTGGCCTCTCTGGCCTCTGTGCGCCCACCCCGGCCGCTGTCCGGGGATGTCCTTCCCCTGGCCACCTGCCTCCAGCCAGACCAAGGGGACAGTGGCCTGCCTGGTGGAGGCCCTCCTCTGGGTCGGAGGGAGCGTGGACATGTCGCTGCGGTGGCAGCTTGGCCCACTAGGTAACGGGGCAGGGACGTCCGGCTTGCTCCTCCCTGGCCAGAGCCCCGCCCAGCTCCAGGGCCAGCGGGGTCAGGAGGGCGTGACGGGCCGGGGCTTGCCCAGCCCAGGTCCTTCGGGTCATGGCTCCCACAGCATCGCCTTCTGCTGATCCCGCTCAGGGCTGGAGGCTGACCCACGGGTGGGTCCCAGGTGGGGCTGAGGACGTGGACCTGGTGGACATGCGGGCGGGCACTCGGCGGCCCCAAAGCTTTGGCTGAGGGGGGCCTGGCACTGCGGGGGCAGCAGCGCCTTCAGCCCAGAGTGCCGGCGGCGAGCCCAATGGCCCTCCAGGCGCCCTCGCTGCCGGCAGCACCCGCAGGCCCAGGAGCCCTCTGCCCTGCCCGGGACCTGGGAGGTGCTGGCGGCCAACGGCCAGCTGGGTGCATGGGGTACAGGGTGGCGAGGGAGAGAAAGGTGGGCCCGGGCGGGGGAAGGGTTCCAGTTCGGAGCCCCGACTGTGTGTACCTTCCCAGAGCCGCATGCTCGGGGGACGGGCCTCCACCTGTGCTTCCCTGGACCCGCCGCGCGTGGGGTGCAGGTGGTTGGGAGCCAGGCTGGGCCTCGTGGGCAGCTGCCTGCCCGAGCCTGAGGGTGTCCCTGTGTCCTCTCCTGTGTAGTAGCTGCGGGGGCAGGTCACGGTGGCCGCTGGGGCTGTCCAGGAGGTGGACAGCAGAGTGGGCGGGTGGCTGGTCCTGTCTGAGGCCTCGGTCGGCCCCAGGACCGTGGGGAGGGCAGAGCGGCCGTTTCTCTGGGGGCCTCTGGCCCTTGAGCCGGATCCCGGCTTGGATGTGCAGCCTGGGCCTGCACCCGGGTCCTGGGCAGCCCTGGGGGTCTGAGCTGGGCCCCTCACGGGCAGGAGGCAGGGGGATGAGGGGCCTCCACAGCCCCTCTGCCCATGGGGGGGCAGGGCAGGCTGCGGGAGGTTGGCATGCCGTGGCGCTCACGGGCGCTGCCGTCTCTCTGTCCGTCCGTCCGTCTGTCCCCTGCCCGTCCTCGGCCTCTGGCGGCCGGTGCACCCAGTGGAGCGATGCATGAGCGCCATGCAGGCCGGGACGCAGATGGTGAAGCTCCGCGGCGGCTCCAAGGGCCTGGCGCGCTTCTACTTCCTGGACGAGCACCGCTCCTGCATCCGATGGCGGCCGTCCCGCAAGAACGAGAAAGCCAAGAGTGAGTGGGGTGAGGGGGCCTCAGAGCGGCCTGGGGCGGGGGCAGCGGGCCCTGAGCCCCCAGTGTCGCAAGGGGCTCCAGGCCTGGCACGTGGGCCCAGCTGGCCTCGGAGTCTGAGGCGACCTGTGGATGCAGGTGGGGGGGGCCCCGGGGCCCCGGACCCTCTAGGACGCGGCGGGGACCGAGCGGCCCCAGTGCCCAGCCCTGTGCCAGACGCTGGGATGGGCTGAGCGGCCAAAGGCTCTTTAGCGAAGCCGGGTAGATAAGACCTCCCGTAAACGGCGGCAGCCCTGGCTGGGCACACGGAGGGCAGGACTTGGGTGGGCGCCAGCGTCCCCCAGGCAGCCTGGGGCGGGAGCAGCTGGCGTGAGTGTGGGGGCTGTGGGGCTGCCTGCAGTGAGGAGGGGTCCTGCGCTGGGAGGGGCTGCGCGGGGGCGGAAGGCGGCTCGCTTCTGCGCGGGGCACTGTGGGAGCTGGGCGGGGGGTCTGGGCCGAGAAGGGAGAAGAGCCCCCTGGGCCGGGGGGAGCGGGGAGGCCCTTCCTCTGGCTCTGCCAGTGGGAGAGGCCAGGCGTGCTGGGCACTGCCTCCCCCTCGGGGCCCAGCGGGGAGCCACACTGGGGGCCCCTGGGAGGCATCCGGTCGGGGGCCTGGACCTGCCCTGGACCCGGGGGCGGAGCCACCCCGTGGGCTGCGCAGGCAGGAGGGGCCCTGCACTCGGTCTGAGCGCTCGCTCTGTTCCAGGCGCCGTTCCTGGCAGTGGGAACGTGGCCAACAAGAAGCTGCCTCTGAGTGCGGGGCAGCCCCATGCCCTGCCAAGTGACGAGGAAAGCGCAGGACAGGGGTGGAGGGGCGTGGAGGGCGGGGGCTCATGGAGGCGCCTTGGGGAGCAAGGGTGCGGCCTGGGCCCAGGCGGGTGTTCAGAGCAGACTGCGGCCAGGAGGGGTGCCCGGGAGGGAAGAGCGGAGGGGGCAGCTGTCCCCGGACGGTCGGCCCCCTTGTTGGGAGGCCCAGAACCGCCCTGCCCACTGCCCCGCACGTACACCAGTACCTAGAGCGGGCAGGGGGGCTCGGCACACCTGGGGAGGCAGGGATGGGGGGCTCCCAGGAAGGGGACAGGGTGGGGGTAGAGAGGAGAGGAGTGAGGCCGCCCCTCAGGGCACAACGGGGAAGCTGTTGCTCTGGACACACAGCCCCAGAGGGGCTGGAGCCTGCGCGGGAGGAGCAGGTGGCGCTGGGAAGGCTTCCCCGCGCAGGGATGGGCTGGCGGAGCTGCCGGATGGACTGGGCCGGCTTGGCCCCCTCGCTCTGCAGCCCCAGCCAGATGCAGAGGCCAGACGCCCGGCTTGCTAAGTGGGGGGCGCAGCCCCTCTCCCTCTCTGGGGGGTGCCTCTCCACGGCAGAGGGAGGGGAGCAGGCCTCAGGGTTAGAGCGGGGCAGCGTCTTGCCTGCTCGCGCATTCGCATTTCCCTGCTCTCCCGGCCTCAAGGGTCTCAACGCATCCCCTCCCCACTGCCCCCAGCCCCAGATGGGAGGGGCGTCCCGTGCGTGGGCTGGGCTGTCGAGGGGAGCACTCCAGGCTCGGCCGGGGCCCTGCCCTGGGCAGGGCTGTGACTGGTGCACCGCCCCCCCCCGGCCCCCCCTCTCCCGCTCCGCAGTCTCCATCGACTCCATCCAGGAGGTGAGCGAGGGCCGGCAGTCGGAGATCTTCCAGCGCTACCCGGACAGCAGCTTCGACCCCAACTGTTGCTTCAGCATCTACCACGGCAGCCACCGCCAGTCGCTGGACCTGGTCTCGCCCAGCGGCGACGAGGCGCGCACCTGGGTCACCGGCCTGCGCTACCTCATGGCCGGCATCAGCGACGAGGACAGCTTGGCCCGCCGCCAGCGCACCAGGGACCAATATCCTCAGGCACAGGGGCAGGATGGGGGGACCCAGTGGCCACCCTGAGTGGGGGCCCCTGCCCTGGGCTGGGCCGCACATTTGGGGACGGGTGGGGGAAGGGACGCTCAGGCTGGGGGCGGAAGGCGGGGGCCCCGGCCCCTGCGAGACCCGTGCTGGTCCCTAACACAGCCCCAAAGTGGCTGAAGCAGACGTTCGACGAGGCTGACAAGAACGGGGACGGCAGCCTGAGCGTCGGCGAGGTTCTGCAGCTGCTGCACAAGCTGAACGTGAACCTGCCTCGGCAGCGGGTGAAGCAGATGTTCCGGGTGAGCAGGGTGGGGCCCTGGAGCCACGGGCGTGTGCGAGGGAGCGGCCCCGGGCTTTTGCAACAGGTGCCAGGGGCGTGGTCTGGCTGCCGGCCGGGCCCGTGGCCGCCTCTGCGGCTGAGCTGGGCGCCCCCAGGCTGGTGGCCTGGGCCCTCGGGGCGGGCGCTGGTCCGAGAGGAAAACCACCCAAGGGATGCCGCAGTCCCTTCCCGCCCTCCCCGTAGCTCCGCCGCGCCAATGGGTGCGCGCTGGTCGCCAGGGTCCTGGTGCCCACACGCCCCACGTGGGCAGCGGGTCTGGGGACCTGCCCCGCGCGGCCAGTGGCCTGGCCCCACCGGCTTGCACAGCGCGCCCCCCGGCTGAGCAGCGGCCTTTGTTGTCGGCAGTTAGGGCCCTGCTGTCCAGCTGCGGCCAGGGGAGCGGGTTCCGAGGGCCTGAGCCAGGTCCACGCCCACACACGCGCATGCACCGGCATGTGCGCGTGCATGTGCACACACCTGAACACACGCACACCTGAACACATGCATAAACACACGTGTACACGCACTCGCACACCTGAACACACATGTCCACACATTTGAATGCACACATGTACACATGTGGGTGCGCATATCTGAACATGGGGACCTTGTCCAAGCCTTGGCCTGGGTCCCCAGCTTGGGCACGTGGGTCCTGGAGCGAGCCCATGGGGCCCCGCTGGGCGCCCGCCGCAGCGCCGGGGACGGCAGCAGCCAGGAGCGCAGACCAGGACTCGGCTTTCCCGGAGCCCCTCTGTCGCTGGGGACGGGCACAGGGGGGTGGCAGCTGCTGGCTGACCTCGACAGGCGTGGACGAGTGCGGCCAGTCTGTGCTAAAGGTCGCTCGGTGGTCTTGGCAGGAGACTCGCGGGGGAGAGGGTCTGCGGGGGCGACTGGGGAGCGGGGTGGGCCTGGAGGGCCCTGTGTGGGTGCGGCTCAGGGCGGGACGCAGGGGGACCCACAGGCCTTGTGCCGCAGGAGGCGGACACGGATGACCAGCAGGGCACGCTGGGCTTTGAGGAGTTCTGCGCCTTCTACAAGATGATGTCCACCCGCCGGGACCTCTACCTGCTCATGCTGACCTACAGTGACCACAAGGACCACCTGGACGCCGCCGACCTGCAGCGCTTCCTGGAGGTGGAGCAGAAGGTGAGGTCCCGGCGGGGCCGGGGGGCCAGGGGGCTGCGCTGGCCCACGGCATCGGCTGGACACCTCGTGAGGCGAGGGCCCCGGGCCCAGTCTTCCCGTCTGCAACCCCCGAGCCCTGGGCCACTGCTGCCGCCTTCGCCCATTTCTCCCGCAGACACCCAGCTGCCTCTGGGTTCCCGTGGGCCTTGTCCATCCCTCTCCCTTCACCCGAGGAAGCCCCGTCCACCCTGCGGGGCTGCGTGCTGGCTGGTGGCCCAGAGTCCAGAGACTCAGGGTCTGGACCCCAGGTGCCGCTGGCTCCCGTGGGCAGGAGGCTGGAAGTCCAAGGTCGGGGAGCGCGTCACAGGCGCCAGAGCCTGCCCGGCTGCCGTCGGCCCTGGCGGGGCGATCGGAGCCGAGCGGGGGCAGGGGCCTCGGGGGCGGAGGACCGGGGGGGCCCCGAGGCCGCCCGCCCTGGTGACGGCTGGGCCGGCCTGGGCTCTCCCCCTTCCCTGGCCTAGATGACCGGTGTGACGCTTCAGAGCTGCCGGGACACCATCGAGCAGTTCGAGCCCTGCCCAGAGAACAAGAGCAAGGGGGTGCTGGGCATCGACGGTGAGTGGGGTGCCCCCTCTGCCCCAGGGCCCCGGGAGGCTGGCGGGGGGGTTGCCGAGGGGCAGCCGGAGCCCGTGGCCGCGGGTCCCAGGTCGGCCGGCGGCGGCGGCCCGAGCCCCTCCCACGCCACGCCCCGCAGGCTTCACCAACTACATGCGGAGCCCCGCCGGGGACATCTTCAACCCCGAGCACCACCGTGTGCACCAGGACATGACCCGGCCGCTGAGCCACTACTTCGTCACCTCCTCCCACAACACCTACCTTGTGGGCGACCAGCTCATGTCCCAGTCGCGGGCGGACATGTACGCCTGGGTGCTGCAGGCGGGCTGCCGCTGCGTGGAGGGTGAGTGCCCCCGGGCCCGGCCTGGCCGCCGGCCGGCGCGTCCTACGCGGGGTGGCCCCCAGGAGCCCTCTGGGGTCTCCGGGCCGGGAGCCTGCTCTCTGCCGGGCAGCGGTGGGGAGGCGGGGCTGGCGCCGTGGTCGGAGCGGGTGGGCTGGCGGGGCCCGGGCGCCTCGGCCCTGGCCCCGACCCAGGTCGCCCGCCGCAGTGGACTGCTGGGACGGGTCTGACGGGGAGCCCGTCGTGCACCACGGCTACACGCTGACCTCCAAGATCCTCTTCAAAGACGTCATTGAGACCATCAACAAACATGCCTTCATCAAGAACGAGTGAGTGGCGGAGATTGGGGGGCTGGCCCGCCCGGGGCGGGGGCCTTGCCCCGCGCCGTTTCTGGGGCAGTGGTCGGAGCGGCCGAGGCGCTGGACTCGGGGTCCCCGGCTGAGGACGGGGCCCAGGAAGGAGCGGAGCTCTCGAGGGCGGGGGCGGGCGCGGGAGGGGCAGCCCGTTGTGCGGGGCTCCGTGGGAGCCCGTGTCCACGCACGCTCAGTGGCAGCCCGTGGCAGTGCCCGCAGCCGCCGGGGCCCGGCACGCGTCACCCCTGAGAAGCGAGTCGTGTCCCGACGCAATTTGCTGTCACTTGGCCGTGCCTACAGACACTGTTGACAAAACCCAATTTAGCTTCTGGAAATAGAAGACGCCTCCCTGTGCCCCTGGAGTTACCTTGCAGCTTGAGCTAAAGGAGGCCGGCAGGCGTGGAAGGAGCTGATTAGTGGAGGAAGGGGGACAAGCGGGACCGACTGAGGACGCGGACGTGCGGTGGCCGCTGCCGGAGGCGCAGCCCTGCTGGGGGCTGCGGGAGGCGGCCTGGCTCTGGGATGGCGGGGGAGGGGCGTCTCAGGGCGCAGGCTGCGTCCCTTGGGTCCCCTGAGGTGGCCAGGTGCCCGCCGGGGTCTCCGGACGGGGCTGCGCAGACACAGGCTCGGGCCTCGCCCCGCGGCCCCGCGGCCCCGCGGCCCCGCGGCCTGCTGGCTGTCCCCGCCCACAGGCTTTCCCCGTCCCTGGTCTCTGGCTCCTGGTCCTGGCTCGTGGGTCTGGGCGGCCGACATTTTCTGAAAGAATCGCGTTGCTATTTGGCAAAAATCCAAGAGAAATGTGCACAGGGTTAAAAAAAATCCAACAACTGAAGAACGCACAGTGAAAAGCCCCACGCTGCGCCACGCAGGCGACCACGCGCCCGCAGACGGTGCGCGCCGGGCTGCGCCGCGGCCCCGGGCCATCCACAGGGCGGCGGTGTCTCCGGTATCTCCGCCGGGGGTGGCCCTTCTCACCGTCTCACGGACGCACCGCGCCCGTTTCGCTCCCGTCCCCTATGAGTCATGGCTTGGGACATGCTCGAACTTCTCCTTCTGTTTTCCTGGGGTTCCCAGTCACCTTTGTTGCCTCACGGGGCGGAAGCGCATGCCTTCCTTACTAAGGTCTCCCAGCCCCCGTCCCTCCGGCTCCGCTGCCTGTCAGGGCTGTTGATGGCCCCCTCCCGGAGCGGCCAGCAGCCCCGTCTGTCCTGGGCCCCTGGTGGAGACCCCCCTTTTTAAAAGATTTTATTTATCTACTTTTAGAGAGAGGGGAAGAGAGGGAGAAAGAGAGGGAGAGAAACATCAATGTGTGGCTGCCTCTCGTGCACCCCAAGCTGGGGACCTGGCCTGAAACCCAGGCATGTGCTCCGACCAGGAATCGAACGGGTGACCCTTTGGTTTGCAGGCCGGCGCTCGATCCGCTGAGCCCCACCAGCCAGGGCTTTTTAAAAAAGATTTTATTTATTCATTTTTAGAGAGAGAGGATGGGAGGGCAAAAGAGAGGGAAAGAAACATCGATGTGAGAGAGAAACATCAACCAGTTGGTTATACATGCCATGACCAGGGACCGAACCCGCAACCCAGGCGTGTGCCCTGGCCCGGGATCGAACCAGCAACCTTTCCCTCAGCGGGAGGACCCCCGCTGGGCCCCGCTGGCTGGAGCACAGACCCTCGGCCGGCCGTTCAGTGTTGAGTGGCGCGGGCCCCACCCCGGCCTCACCCACTCCCCTCCCCGCCGGGGAGCGCAGGTACCCGGTGGTCCTGTCCCTTGAGAACCACTGCAGCGTCGCCCAGCAGAAAAAGATGGCTCAGTATCTGATTGACATCCTTGGGGACAAGCTGGACCTGTCGTCGGTGAGCAGCGAGGACACCACCGTGCTGCCCTCCCCGCAGATGCTCAAGGGCAAGATCCTTGTGAAGGTGAGCCCTCGCCTGCCCCCCGCCCGGGCCGGGGCTCTGGGCCGCCCGTGGCCACCTGCCCTGGCCTCCGCCTCCCCGCGGCGGCCGCACGGCCTGGGAACCTCCGCAGCCACCCAGCGTCCCCTCCCGCACTGCTGTCCCGCGCGGGTCCCTCCCTCGAGCAGGCTGAAGGTCCTCCCTCTGCGGCCAAACCAGCCGCCCCGCACTCCCTGCGGGCGCTTCCCATGGTCCCCACGTCCCCCAGGGCAAGAAGCTCCCGGCCAACATCAGCGAGGACGCGGAGGAGGGCGAGGTGTCCGACGAGGACAGCGCGGACGAGATGGACGAGGACTGCAAGATCCTCAACTGGGATGTGAGTTGGGGCGGGGGCGGGGGGAGGAAGGAAGGAAGGCGGCCAGCGAAGAGCGACTCGGCGGGTGTCCAGGGTCGTGGGCCAGCCACCAGGCTGCTGGGCACACCTGCGGCCTGCGGCCACGGGGGCCCCTCCACACTGCACACGCACCCCGTGTTCCCGGCCAGCGTGTGACCCTCTGGTGCTGTGGGCTGCTCGCCTGCCGCCGGCCTGTTTTGGTTCCCGTTTCTGAGCCAGCTCTCAGGGCGCTGTTTGCTCGGCTTGCCCGGTCCCCGAGCTGCCCTCAGCCGGCGAGGGCCACGTGGCCGCCCATGTCACTCCCACCCATGCCCATACCTGCCCGGCTCCCACCAGAACGCCCCCTCCCTGGCCTCTCTCTGGCCCACCCCGGCTCCCGCCCTGGGTGCCCAGTGGCCCTGCCCCGCCTCCAGGCAGCTCCAAAAGTCCAGGGACCAGCCCCGCAGAGCCCAGCCCCTCTTCCTGGCAGCTCTGCTGTCCGGCTCCTGGCAGCGCTGGGGCGGAGGAGCCAGAGGCTCGCGCGGCAGGGCTGGAGGCCCAGGATCCGCGTCCTCTGGGCCCCGCTGTGGGCGCTGCTTCTGGGCAGGGAGGCCCTGTTCCTCCCGCGGGGCCCGGGGAATGGGGCACAGGAGCTGCCCAGCCCTACCGGTAATGGCTGCAGAAAGCCCTGCGGCCGCGGAACTCTTCCTGCTTTGGGCACCTGGGCTTGGCCCGAGGGGATGGTGAACCCAGCTCCTGAGGACACGCTAGCGCCCGCTCCGTCGCCCAAGGCCCAGGCCCTGCCCTGGAGGGGTCCCAGTTCACCAGGGCCGCCCCGGGGGCTGCTGCAGGCAGGGAGTCTGCTCCCCCCCGTCCATCTTCTTGGGTCCACTGGTGGGTCCTGGGTCCAGAGCTGCTGAGCCAGTGGCTGCCGCCGTGAGCACTGACCTCCCTGAGGCCCAGTGAGCCGTGGGCTGGGGCCCCGCAGGCAGCCCCGGGCAGCTGAGGCGGTGGTGTTAGAATCGGGGCCAGGCCTGCTCTGCACTGTCTGCAGCCTGGGGCAAATCGCGCCCTGCTGTTTGCCCCTGGGGTGGGCGGGGGGGGGTTGTGGAGGCCAGCGCTGGGACGCAGGAGTCCCTGCGGCCGATGGGACAGGGCAGGGCCGGCTCAGCTCCCAGCAGCCCCAGGGGCTCTGCCTGAGACCCGGGGTCCCGCCGGGAAGCCGCCCGCAGGGCAGGGACCGATGCCAGCGCGGCCCGGCTGTTGCAGGCCTCCACTAATCGGAAGCGGGTGGAAAACATCGCCAAGAGGAAGCTGGACTCCCTGATCAAGGAGTCGAAGATCCGCGACCGCGAGGACCCGAATGCCTTCGCCGTGTCTGCGCTGCCTCCGCCAGGGAAGCCCGGGCCCAAGGCCGAGAGCAGAAGGGTGAGCGCCTGCAGGGCCGGGGGCATGCGGTCAGCGCACGCCTGTACACATGTGCGCACACAGAAACCCACGTGTGCACTCACACGCACCTGTGTGCACCCACCCACACACCTGCACATGAACCTGTGTGCGCCTGCATACCGGCACATAGCTATACACACACGCACACACCTGTACATGTGAACCCATGCACACCAACTTGTGCACATGTGACCTTGTGTGCACGTCTCAGCACTCCTGCACACAAGCCTGTGTTCGCATGCACGCACCTGCACACACACACCTGGACACCACCTGTGCTCACACCTGCACACACAGACCTGTGCAAACATTCACACCTGTGCGCACACGTGCACACCACTCGCACTCACACCTGCGCACACACACAAACCTGTGCACACCCCGGCACACACAGCTGCCTGGGCCCCGCGGCCCTTGCCGAGTCCCAGGGCCACCCCGGCGATGGTTTGCCCAGTGTGTGTGGCCGCTCCGGTGTGGCTGGCACCCCCGGTCTGTCTCCTGGAGGCCTGGGACCTACCCCGGTGACCCACAGCTCCTGCCACAGGCAAAGGTGATGGAGCGGGAGGCAGGTCCTTCCACAGAAAGGCCTCCTTAGTGGCCGGTGGGGGGCACCCAGGGTCTCAGCCTGTCCTGGGTGGCCGCCCAGAGTCCCCCGCAGCCCCGTGGGAAAGTGCAGCTGAGCTCTGGGAAGTGCCCAGCGGACAAAGGCACAGCGGGCCTGCCACGCCCCCTCCCGTCTCCTTGGGTCCACCGGTGGGTCCCAGGTCCGGAGTCTCAGCCGCGGGGCGGCGTGAGGGGCAGGGCCGAGCAGTCGGGGTCCCTTCCCGGGGTGGGGCAGTGAACCTCGAGGGACAGGCCTGCCAGCCAAGGGGCTTGAGCGCTAGCGGGTCCTCGGCCAGTGGGGGGCAGGGAGGCTGGCCCGGGAAGGCGGGGCTCGGCAGGGCCTGCTCCGCCTCCCCGGCTGCTGCGGCCCCTGTGGCGCTTCCCGACTCAGGTCAACTCCCTGCCGGCTCGCCAGTCGCTCCAAGCAGGCAGGCGGCTCCCGCAGGTCCCGAGCTGACAAGTGGCTGTTTGTTTTCTGTCTCAAAGACGCCTAGGTGGGGACAGCACAGCGCGCGGAGGCTCCAGCGGGCGGGCGCCCAGCCAGGCAGAGCCCACGTGGAGCCTGCCTTTTCTCAGCCAGGCAGCCCAGCCGGTCCCTGGGCCAAGGGTCCGAGCAGCCCCCACAGGGTGCGGGGGAGGGGCTCTCAGGGAAGCTTCTTGGAGGGGAAGGGGGAAGCGCAGGCTGAACGGCCAGGTGTGAGCTCCACCCCCACCAGCAGCAGCTGCCCTCTCCTGCTGCCGGGGTGACCGGTGACCGGGTGCAGCCACAGAGCAACCTGAGGGGGGCCCAGGGGGGCAGGGAGCACCTGGGTGGGGGGTCACGGACACGCCTCGAGGTGACGGTCTGTCCTGTCTGCTGCTGGGGGGCTGAGGCTGGGGACCCCCCGCCCCGTGTGCTGGGCACGTCTGTGGGCACTGGCGCTGCCCAGGCCGGTCCTGCCCTCTGCAGGAGACCCCGCCCCCAGCCCCCAGCGTGGCGGGGACGGGGCCTCTCTCTCAGGAGGGGCATGGCCTGCCGGCTGTGCTCCGTCCCAGTGCGGACGTGCCTCCACCCGCCAAGCCCTCCCAGGGCCGGCGGGCTGGTGTGGGTCCTCCGCTGCCTGGCCCTGCTGCCTGTGGCTGCCCTGGGGGTGGGGGCTGCCCCCCTGCCAGGCTTGGGGTGCACAGGGGGCCGGGGTGACAGTGGGTTCTGGCTGCAGCCACTTCCCCGGGACACTGGGCCAGCGAGAGCCTCCCCTCGGCGGGGCCCTGGTTCACAGGTCTGTGCGGGTTTGGAGCCATGTTTGAAGGGCTGTGAGTGTGGTGGGCTCAGCGTCTGTGAACACCTCGGCCAGCACGAGACGGTCAGCCCGCGAGGGGGGCAGGCTGGTGCTGCTGGGGGCACCAGAGAGGCGCCTAGGGGCAGCGGGGGGCCCGGCGTTCCTGCCTGGCCGGTCTCCATGGGGCAGAAGGCCCGGGGGGGCACAGCCAGGCCCTCTGGGGCTCTGGAGGGCACGCCTGGGTGAGGGCCGGAGCCAGTGGGTGCAGGGGTGGCCGAGCTGCTTGGGACCAAGTGGGAGGAGGCCAGGGAGCCGCTGGGGCTCAGGGCCGCGGACAGGCCAGGCTGCCATCCCGTTCCTAACGCGCGAGCCGTGGTGGGCGGTGTCCAGGCGAGGTGGCCGGCAGATGCCCACAGGGAGCTCTTGGGGTCTTCTCCCTACCCCTCTGCCCATGGGACCCATGCTGGACGTCCTGCAGCCCCCTCCCTGCTGGGTACAACGGGCCTCACCTCCCTGCGGCTTGAGCTCCAGGCCACGTCCACCAAGAGACCAGAGTGCCCACCTGCGGTGCCCGCTCACCTCCTGGGTGAGGGGCTGGTGTGCCGGGCGGGGGCTGGCGAGCTGGGGTGCTCCCAGGGGCGTGTGCGTGGAGCGCGTGGGTGCATTCGGGCGTGGCATGTATGCGTGAGCGGCGTGCGTGGCGTGCCCGGGTCTGTCTCTGCCCCGCGGGTGCACGGCCCTTCTGAGCCTGGCAGACCCAGCCCCCGGCCTGGAAGGGGACGAGTCCTGGGATAGGCCCCTCGCGTCCTGAACGAGCTGGGCATGTTTTGGTGATGCCCGAAGGGGCCGGGGGGGCGGGCGGGGGCAGCTGCAGCGGCCCGGGCGTGTGAATGAGCTTCGGCGTGGGCGGAGCCCAAATGCGTAAGTTCTGTGAACGGGGAAGTGGGGTGCACTGTGGCCCAAGGGGGAGCAGGGAGCCGCCCTTGGCTGGGGGGAGGCAGGGCCATTTCTAAGTGGGTAATAGCCTGGCTGCTGGGGGGAGCAGGCGGCACCAGGGAGAGCGAGCCCCCCCGCCCCCATAAAGAGAATGTAAGTGCCTGGCTGAGGACTGTCCCCAACTCACAAACGGCACCCGCCAAGCAGCCACTGTCTGTGGCAACGTCTCAGAGCCGGGACCGTGGGGAGCGGAAACAGCAGCTGATGCGGGGCTTCCGCAGGGCCCTCCGTGCCCTTCTCCGGGGGAGGCGCCTCCCGGGGGGCCTGGGGCAGCGGCCAGCCCGCCCGCACCCCCTCCAGCCCCGCTCGTTTCCGCTCTTCCACGAAGGCTGCCCGGGCCACCCGGGGCCTCCTGCCCCCTCCTGCCTGGTCTGATGCTGGGCTCACCGGGTCCCCTGTCTGTCCCTGCTCCCAGGTTGAGCAGGACCTGGAGTCCGGGGAGGACCCTGGGGCCAGCAGGCGGAATGGCCGGCTTCTCGTGAGCAGCTTCTCCAAGCGCAAGGTCTGGGGGCTCCTGGGCTGGGGTCCTCCCTGCACCCACGGGCCCTGCTGTCCCTGTGCCCGCCAGAGGGGGGCCTTCCACGTCCCAGGGCCCCAGACCCACCTCCCAGGGTGGGGTCGGAGCCCCAGTCAGATGAAGTAGGGCCCCAGCGGCCATCCCTGACCCACACTGGCCGGTGTCGCGAGCTCGGGCCCCTGGGGCCCCCGCTGAGGGGCGCGGCAGAGGACAGCCCACGGGCAGTGTGGGCCCCGGGGCCCCGGGACAACCCCCTGGCCCCGCCACCGGCTGGGCCTGGCTGGGGCCCTGACTCCGCCTCCTTGCTCCCAGAAAAAGAGCAGCAAGCTGAAGAAGGCAGCCAGTGTGGACGAGGTGGATGAAGAGCTGGACTCGCAGAGCGGCCAGAGCCGAGGGTCAGGGCCACCCCCAGTCCCTGGAGCGGCAGGGGCAGGTGCTAAGGCCGCTGTCCAGCCGCAGCCATGGGCAGACGCAGCCCGGAGGCGGCTCGGGCGCAGGGCCGCGGGGTGGGCCGGGGCCCGGGCCGGATCATGGGCTAGTTCCCGGGCTGGTGGGCTCGGCACTGCCCCCCACCCCCGCCAGGGGCCCCCTCAGTTCACCCACTGAGCGTCCACTGCTTGCCCTGGCCCCTGGAACACGGGGCCAAGCAGACGCCTGATGGACGTTCTATGTTACCAATGCACTTGGCCAAACCGGGACCCCGCCTCTTGGGCCTGAGGGTCCTGCCCCCACCCCACGCAGGGCCACCCGGCAGAAGAAGACCATGCAGCTCTCTCGGGCCCTGTCGGACCTGGTGAAGTACACGAAGTCCGTGGGCGCCCACGATGTGGACGCGGAGGGTGAGGGGCGGCCCGGGCTCGGGGCCGAGGGGAGGGCCGGGCCACGCCCCGAGCGCCCCTGACGCCGCCGGCCGCGCCCGCAGTGGCATCCAGCTGGCAGGTGTCGTCCTTCAGCGAGACGAAGGCCCAGCAGATCCTGCAGCAGAAGCCGGCGCAGTACCTGCGCTTCAACCAGCACCAGCTCTCCCGCATCTACCCGTCCTCCTACCGCGTGGACTCCAGCAACTACAACCCGCAGCCCTTCTGGAACGCCGGCTGCCAGATGGGTGTGTGGCCGCCGTGCGTGGCGCCGGGACCGGGGGGCGCAGCCGGCACTCACCCGTGCCTGCTTCCCCGCGCGGCTTTGGGCCTGCCCGCGTCCCGCTGACTCACTAGCCTGGCGCGGCCCTGATGGGGCACGGCTGTGAGCCCCAGGGCCCCCGCTCCTGCTGGCGATCGCCGGGCTCATGGGCAGCAGGGCAGGGTGGGCGGGAGGTCACGGCCGGGGGCTGACCGGCCACTTCACCTCATTGCCTACAGTGGCCCTGAACTACCAGTCAGAGGGGCGGATGCTGCAGCTGAACCGGGCCAAGTTCAGTGCCAACGGCAACTGTGGCTACGTGCTGAAGCCCCCGTGCATGTGTGAGGGTGAGGCCCCGGGGAGCCGGGGACGGCCGGGGCCGTACCACGTGGCAGAGGGTCCCGCTGAGGTCTGCGGGGGCTGAGGGAGGGAGCCCCACCCACGCTCCCCGCTGGGCCTGGGAGGGGCCTTGGTAAGGCGCCCCACCCCTCCTCCTGGCCACACCCCCTCAGCTTCTCCTGTGTAGCCCAAGCTCCAGCTGCTCTGCCACCTGCTCCCGGCCCCCCACCCACCATGCTCCTGGCTGCCTGCCCACCCAGAGGGAATGAGCTGTGCCAGGTCACAGGGTGGCACAGAGGCGGCCAGCGTATGGGTCCCAGGGCCCCAGGCTGGGGCTCGCGTCCAGTAAAGGGGGTACATGTGGTGCAGACATGCCAGTGGGGGGCTCGTCCCGCCTGGTCAGCCCTGCACCCTGCACCCTCAGGCGTCTTCAACCCCAACTCCGAGGACCCTCTGCCCGGGCAGCTCAAGAAGCAGCTGGTGCTTCGGATCATCAGCGGGCAGCAGCTCCCCAAGCCACGGGACTCGATGCTGGGGGACCGGGGGGAGGTAGGCGGGCTGCCCAGGCAGGGGCGGGAGGCGGCCGAGCACCCGCAGCCCGGCATCACCCCCAGTCCCTGCAGATCATTGACCCCTACGTGGAGGTGGAGGTCATCGGGCTCCCCGTGGATTGCAGCAAGGAGCAGACCCGCGTGGTGGACGACAATGGTAAGGGCTTGCCCGTGGCACCCCCGTGCTGGGTGCGGAAGGGGGCCCGGACCACCTCCTGTGACCCAAGCAACCGGCCAGGATGGGCCCTCGGCAGGGCGCCCAGGAATAGCCCCCGGACCCTGGGGGCTGCTTCCCTGGCCAGGCAGGCAGCCCGGGAGGAGAGTGGGGCAGGGCGGGAGGTGAGAGCCCCGCCCCCTGGTGGCCCGCAGGCTTCAACCCCGTGTGGGAGGAGACCCTGGTGTTCGTGGTGCACATGCCCGAAATCGCACTGGTGCGCTTCCTCGTCTGGGACCATGACCCCATCGGGCGCGACTTCATCGGCCAGAGGACCCTGGCCTTCAGCAGCATGATGCCAGGTGGGAGGGGCCGGCAGGGTGGGGGGCGGAGCCCTGGGCCCAGGTGGCTGCAGACGCCGGCCTCTCCTGCCCAAGCCAGCATCTCCACACTGACGCGTGTACCCTATGGACACTGGCGTCCATGTGGGCCAGCAAGGGGCCCGGGGCAGGGTGGGCTGTTTTCTCCCATGAGCTGGCTTCTGCTCTGGGCAGGCCTGGGGGCACAGCGGGCACTGTGTGGGCAGGGAGGGCTGCTCAGGCTGGGGAGCTGCCCCGCCCAGCCCCGAGGAACGGGAAGAGGTCCCTGTGGGTCAGGGCATCACCGGCAGGCTCCCTGGAGAAGGCAGCCCCGGGCCTGGGTGCTCGGGCTGTATTCAGGACTTGGGACCTCAGAGTTGAGAGGGTGGGTGGGCTGAGCCGCGGCTCCGGCATTGCAGGATACCGCCACGTGTACCTGGAGGGAATGGAGGAAGCCTCCATCTTTGTCCACGTGGCCATCAGCGATGTCAGCGGTAAGGTGCGTGCCCTGCAGCCGCCAGCACCAGCCCTGCCGTGACCCGGGGCCACGGGCCTGGGGGTGCCTCGCTGGGCCTGCTTCTCCACCCATGCAGGGGGCGGGGCACCCGGAAGCCAGTGTCCAGGCCCTTGCTGAGCGCCCCCGGCCACCCGCCTGTCCGCCTGCCGAGCCTCCCCTCTGCTTCTCAGGGTCCCCGGTCCTCTATCCCTCCCCGGAAGACACGGGCCTGGCTCTGCGCCCGCCCCCGCCCCCGCCCGCTCCCCAGCACAGCTGCCCCTGCCCTGGCCTGGGCCTCGGGGCCCTTTCCCAGTCTGCAGAGCCCAGGGCTCCCTGGCCCCGCGCCCGAGCCCAGGCAGGCACACACGGGGTCCCCCGCAGGTCCCATCGCTAACTGTCTCTCTCCTGCCACGCTCCGGGGGCCGCGCTGCCGGCCAGACTGGGCTCTGCGGGCCTCCCAGCTCTCCGTCGCCTGTCGTCCGTCCGTCCGCCCCTCCGTCCGTCTGTCTGTCGTGTGCCTGCGGCCTCCACGGGCTCTGTGCCCCCGCTGTCCGAGCCTCATGGCCTCCGCTCTGTCTCTTTGGTCTTGCAGTGGGCTCTCTATGTCCCAAGTTCACCTTTAGGAGCACAGCCCCGTTAGGAGGCGCAGGTACCCCGGTGCCGGGCCGCGCCGCCCCCCCTGCATGCTCAGGCCGGCCCAGTAGCATCCATGACCCCGGTAACATTGTGGGGACTGTCGGCTCATGGGACACGGATCGTGACGTGGTCCCGGGGGTTCTGGGGCCCTCGGGCTGTCCTCAGCCGCAGGGCAGCATTTACGAAGCAGGTCCAGGACTTCGGCCAGGCCTCCTGTGCGTGCTCCCCGCCCCGCCCTGAGCCCGGTCCCAGCTATGCGCTCTCCCGGCCGCACCTCGCAGCCCTCTCTGCGCCCCCCCCCCATGTGCCCCTGACCCCGCCGGTGCCCTCGACGCCCCCTGCCAGGTGGAGAGGTCCCAGGGACCAGGAGCTCCGAGCTTGAATCCTGGACCTTCTTCTAAATGACTTTCCAACCAACTCTGACCAAATCGCTCTGCATTTGCGGTCTTGAATCTGGGAACGGATTCAAGCACTGGCCCCTGGAACGCCTCTGCCTGGAAGCGCCCCGTTGCACTGGGGAGCGTGGCTGCTGGTGGGGCCTCTGCATGCGGGGACACTCATGACGCGGTGGCCGACCTCTCTGGCAGGGAGCTGCCAGGAGGGCCCTGGGCCGGTGGCTGTTCAGGGGGCACCAAGCCGGCGTGAGCACGGCCCCCGGGGCCGCGTGCGCAGAGAGCAGGGTGAGGCCGGGAGAGACCGCCTGGCAGGAGTCCAGGAAGGCTTCCTGGAGGAGGAAACACCTCCAGGGCAGTGGGCCAGGCAGGGGCATGGAGAGCAGACCGTTGGCCTGTGCCTGGCTGTGCTTGCTTCCGGGGCCCGCAGCGCCGGGGCGGGGCCCGACGTGCTGGGCAGTGCCTGCTGCCAGCTGGCTCTCTGTCCACCTTCTCTGCACCTCAGCACTGCCCCGCGGGCACCACCTGCCAGAGCCAGGGGCCACGGGGCCCGCGGCAGGCGTGCAGTCTGGGGGCACAGGGCCCGGAGCTGGGGTCTCCGCTTGGGGGAACCCAGGGCCCCGCCCGCCCCAAGGCCCACGGACCCTCCCAGCACCCGCGCTCTCCAGGTCGGCGCGAGGCCGGAGCAGCCGCAGCTGCTGGGGGAGGTGCCCGGGGCCCCTCCCTGCCCGTGGCCCGCGCAGCCCCGTCCCGACATGCCTGCTAGCTCACCCCTGGGCTGCAGCGTGGGCTCCACGAGGCCACCACCTGCCAGGGCGTCGCCGGCCGGGCCGGGCCGGGCGGGCCCTGGCCCCCAGTGCCTGGCCACCGCCTATGTGGGCTCCTTCTCTTGCAGGTCAAGCAGGCTCTGGGCCTAAAAGGCCTTTTCCTCCGAGGCCCAAAGCCCGGCTCTCTGGACAGTCATGCTGCTGGGCGACCACTGGCCCGGCCCTCTGTTAGCCAGCGGCTCCTGAGGCGCACGGCCAGCGCCCCAACCAAGAGCCAGAAGCCAGGCCCCAGGGCCTTTCCGGAGCTGGCCCTGGGCGCTCAGGACGCAGGCTCCGAGCAGGCGGCCCTCGCCGCGGCGCCTCCCAGCCCCCGCCCGGCTCTGCAGGCCCTGGCCCCGGAGCCCGGAGGCGGCAGCCCGCGAGGTAAGGCACCGGCGGAGAGGAGCCCCCGGCAGGGGCGGCCTCTGTGCGCCCCTGAAGGCCCCGGGCCAGCCGGGGTGGCCGCCTCTTGCATGAAGTGCGTGGTGGGCTCCTGCACCGGCGAGGACGCCGACAGCCTGCGGAGGGGGCGGCCGCCCAGCCCGGCGCCCGCGGGTGGGCCTGTGGCCATCCGCCAGCAGCCCCGGGCTTGGGCAGACTCGCTGGGGGCCCCCGACGCGGCCCCAGGTGGAAGCAGCAGAGGGGCCCCCGAGGGTCCGGGCGGCGGCCGCCCCGCGACCTCCCGCTCCAGCAGCCCCGGCAGCCCCGACGGGGCCCCCCGCGGGCCCGAGGGCTCCCGCAGACAGGCCGGGGCCCTGCAGAGGGAGATGAATGCCTTGTTCGTTCAAAAGCTGGAGGAGATTAGGAGTAAATCCCCAATGTTCTCCACGGGTAAGACCAGGAGCGCCTCCCGCCCCCTGTGGCGTCCCCAGCCCCTCGGCATGGCCTGGCTGGCGACCCTGCTGTGCTTCTGCGTCCAGAACTGCTGTGTCGTGTGCTGGCACCTGCGTTTTCCTTGGTCCTGCTGGCTTACCCTGTGGCCCCCAGCCCCCAGCTCCTGCCTGGCCAAGGCTGACCCCAGGGCCTCTTGCCCTTGGAGGCCTCCCTCCTTCCCCGAGGGGCAGAGGGGCCAGCCACAGCCACCCTCCCCCCTGAGCGCCCCGCCCCGCTGGGGACAGAAGCCTGAGGCCTGCAGCCCGGATCAGCGCCCCCCGGCCCTCCCTCCCTCCCTCCCTCCCCGGCCTTCCTGGGTCCCGGGGCAGCGTCCAGCCCCACGCTGGCCTCCCTCCCGGCCAGGCTGCAGGTGTGCTGGGCCCTGACCCTGCTCTCCAGTCCTCTGGGAAGTTGGCCCCGAAGCCCCGAGACTCCAGGCCGGGCTTAGAGCCCTGAGGCTGGGCTCCGAGTTTGCGAAGGGCCAGGTGGCGCAGGGGGCGAGACTCGTGCCCTGGATTCCCAGCGTGGCCGGACCTGCCCGGAGCAGTCCCCGCCCACGGCTGGTGACAGCACTTTGTCATGCGGGGGCCCAGACTGGTGGGGGGAGCTGAGTCAGCCCGCTCCCCACCCTGCTCCCCTTCCTGCTCCGCACCCTGGCTGTCTGTCCGTCCCCCGCCGGCGCCACCGCACGCTGACCGCCCTGTTCTCCTTTCTGTCCCCACGCTGCCTCCGTAGTTAGGAACTGAGAGCAGCCGAGCGCCAGGTAACGGGCCGGCCCCCAGTGTGCCCTGAGCTGCCCCAGCCCAGAAGGGCCCGGCCGCAGTGCACAGAGGGCAGGGTGCAGGGCCCGGCCACTGGGGATGCCGCGGGCACGGCCTGGGGCCCGCCCTGACACCGCCTCTTCCTCCCCCGCAGACGCCCGCGCCTTCTCTGTGCAGAGGGCGGCCTCCTCCCTGGAAGCCATCGCGGAGGAGCCAGCCCCGGGCCCCGGCCCCCCGCCTCTGCGGGCCGCCCTGCCCCGCGCCCCCACGGGAGGGCACTGGGCCTCCGCAGGACCCGGAGCCAAAGCAGAGAGCCCCCCAGGGGCGGCTCCGGGAGCCTCCATGCCCCTCCAGCTCGGGGCCGGGAGCCACAGGGACACGGAGCCGGCCCCCGAGAGCGGGCCGCAGGCACGCAACGGCGGGGGCCCTGGTGGGGCGTGCGAGGGGGCCCCCAGCCGCCGGGCGGACAGCAGGGGCCAACCCCGGCCCCTGGGCCATCGGACCGTGGCCCAAAGGGCCAAAAGCGAGGGGCAGGTGCCCTCGGAGCTGCTGAGTGGACGGCAGCCCCTGGCCTCGCCGGCCGTGCACTCAGATGCCACGGGCGGAGACCGGCTGTGGCAGCGGCTGGAGCGGGGCAGCCACAGCGACAGCGTGTCCTCGTCCTCCAGCCTGTCGTCCAGCGACACGGTCATCAACGTCTCACTGCCGGGCCTGGGCCTGGGCCGAGAGGCCGTGTTGGCGGCCCTGGCCGGGCGCTGGCCCTTGGGGTCCTGCTCGGCCTCGGCTGCCCACCTGGACTTCCTCTCCGGGACCAAGAGCAAATCCAACCCCAACCTGTGGGCTGCAGGCCAGTTCCCTGCAGCCCCGGGCGAGCCCCGGCCCCGGCCCCTGGCCCCTCGGCCGCCCTGGGGCTGCCTCCCCCTGGAAGGCCTCAGGGACTGCCCTGTGTCTGCCAAGTCCAAGAGCCTGGGGGACCTGACTGCCGATGACTTTGTCCCCCGCGTGGAGGGCCTGGGCAGAAGCCTGGGCCGCAGCCTGGGTGCCGCTGGGGAGGGGCCGGCGGGGCGGGGGCCGCGGCGGGACCCCCTGACGGAGCAGCTGCGCTGGCTCACGGGGTTCCAGCAGGCGGGGGACATCATGTCGCCCACCAGCCTGGGTGCCGCTGGGGAGGGGCTGGTGGGCGGCTCGGGCTTCCAGCGCCGCTCCTCTCGCAGCCAGAGCCGGGTGCGCGCCATCGCCAGCCGGGCCCGCCGGGCGCAGGAGCGCCAGCAGCGGCTGCAGGGCCCGCGGGGACTCCCTGGGGAGGAGCGGGGTGCCCCTGAGGGTGCCTGCTCCACGGGCAGCTCCATGGAGGGCTTTGGCGACGCGCTGGCCCCCCGGGGCGCCACGGGCCTCCCGCTCAGGCTCTGACCTGCCCCCAAGACGGGCTTCGGCCGCCCTCCTGGCAGTCGGCGGCCAGGGCAGGGTCCAGCGCTCGCTGGGGACTAGGAGTGGGCTGTCCCCAGAACTGTGTGCCCCTTGGCGGACTTGCTCTCTGCCCCGCCCCTCCCTCCTCCCGAGGAGGAAGGGAGCCCACCCTGGGCCAAGCTTCATGTTTTAAACGACGCAGAGAGGTTCAAATTGTTAGAGGCAAAGCTTCCACAACATCGAAATGGTGCCGAGTCCTTCCTCACATTCCCCTGGTCTCCAGCCGCGTGGGTGCGCCTGCCCAGCCCCGCCCCAGCTGCCCTTGGCTTGTTCTGCACGAACCCTGCTCTGCACGGACATTTTAGACTCTGTAGATTCCCGCCCCGGCTGGTGTGGCTCAGTGGACTGAGCGCCAGCCTGCGAACCGAATGACCAACATTCAGTTCCCGGTCAGGGCACGTGCCGGGGTTGAGGGCCAGGCCCCCAGGAGGGGGCACACGAGAGGCAACCACACATTGAAGTTTCCCTCTCCCTTCCTCCCTTCTCCTCTCATTAAAAATAAAAACTTAAAAAAATAAGTTCCCTAACACGCCTCCAATAAACATGCTCACAGTTTGAGCGGGGCCCCTGGCCCCCGCCCCGCGGTACTGTGCTTGTGAACGTGGGCGCGCGCGCACGCTGGTGTCCGTTCCTCTGGCCTGAAAGGCCGAGCAGGCTGGCCCGGGCTCTCGCGCTGCCTGCGCCCCCTGGTGGCCGCCTGAGGCGGGCCAGCCCGGCCTGCGGCCGGGGCCGCTGCGGTGGGCGCGGTTGGCAGGCAGGGCCGGGAGCACGGTGGCACAGGGTGCGACGGGAGGGTGGCCAGGAGGGGCTGATGGATCTCGCTGCCAGCCCTGTTCCTGGGGACAGAGCAGGTGCCAGACCCCAAGCAGAGGCCCCGGAAGGTGGTCCAGGGTGCTGGGCTCCAGGAGCCCAGCAGGACAGTCACGGGGTGGGGGTCTCAGAGAGGAGACGCCAGGTGAGCTTGCCCTTGCGCCCACCCGAGCCCCTGGTTCTGGGTCCTCCGGGGCTGGGGGTCCCACCGGAGCCGGTGCAGCTCGGCCCGCTCAGGGCCAGGGGCTTTCCGGCCGTCCACGCTGCAGCCGTTCTCCAAGGCCCAGGTGGCCCCGGTGGCAGGAACCGCAGCCGGCCCACCTGGGCAGGACCCCCACTACCAGGCAGCGTGCGCCATCCGCTTGGCACCCCAGCGCTGGCCCTGCAGGCACGGCGTCTGTGCTCCGGTCTGCGCCCAAGGGGAGTGTCCGGCGGGGGGGCCGCCCCGGGAGGCCCACCACCCGCCATGGCAGGGCTGTGGCACAGGTTTGCAGCCACCGTGACAACTCCCATACAGCCCCGCTGGCCCTGAGCAGGAGCATACCTGCTGCCAACCTGCGAGCCCTAAGGCATCCTCGGGCCGGCGGCCTGCACTCGGCCGGCCCTTGAGCCAGAACTGCCGCTCAGAGCCCCTCCTGCCTGGCCGGGGGCCGTGCCGGGACCCTGGAAGCCAGCGGCACCGGCAGGGAAGGACCGGCTCCCACCTTGCCTGGGGAGGGGCAGCAGGGCTCCCGGCGGCCACACAGCCACGCACACACGGCTCTGGTCTCGCTCTCGAAACTCTATTTGGTGCGTGCCTGCAGCCTGCGTCCTCTGTCAGAGAGGCAGGTGTGTAGTGTAGTCTATATATATATATATATATATGTGTATATATATATATATATAAATGTATATATATATATATATATATAAAGATTATTTAACAGTTAAATACATTCCGCTGCGAATGTCCTGCGGGACGGGCCGTGTACGCCACCATGGCCGCGGCGGCACGCAAGGGAGCCCAGGCCGCGGGGCTTGGCCGAGCCGCAGAAGCACAACAGAAACAGTCCGGCTGGCAGGCGGCGCCGCACGGTGGTGGGAGTGCGCTTCCTGACCGGTGACAAGCAGCACAGCTGGCGCGTCGGGCGCCTCACTCGGCCGGGACCTCGTACTTGAAGATGACGCTGAAGAGCCGGCCACCCAGCCGCTCGGCCAGCCAGGAGTTCTTGATGACGGCCAGCTTCAGGCACTCGCAGCGCAGGGCCGCGTAGTAGTTGGTGTGCACGGCACGGCCCATGCCCTCGATGACCACCAGGTCCGTGCCGCGCTCCCGCACCAGCACGGCCAGCCCCTCGTCCAGGCGGCTTCGGGGAGGAAGAGGACAGTGAGCGGCCCAGGCGCCTCCTGGGGAGCGAGCCACACCCTGCCTGCCCGAGGGCACAGACACCCCGTCCCGACTCCGTGGGCTCCCAGCCTGCAGCCGAGCTGAAGCGGCGCCTCCCTCACGAGCAGGCGGCTGGCTCTGAACACCAGGCCCCGGGACTGCGCAAGGGCCAGCCCCATCCGTGGGCCACCCTCCCGCCGCCTTGCTGGTCGCCCCCGGGCCTGGCGAAGGGCTCAGGCAACACCAGACCGGCAGCATCAGGCGGGGAGACCGACAGCCATCTTCACGCTCTGGCTCAGGGGGCCGGGGCCTTGGGTCTCGGAGCCCCCGGGGCAGGCAGCACAACAGGGAGGGGCTCGTCACCTGCAGAGGGTCACGGCGGGGCAGCCCCCGCCAGCTACGGGTGGGCCTGCTCTTGGCCTCCAAGCCAGGTGGCATGCGTGTCTGTCCCTCCCACCCCACGTGAGCCAGACCCGGCTCGCGGCGCCTGACGGGGTCCCCGAGAAAAGAGGGTGGGCCGTGCAGGGGCCCGGGGCCCGGGGCCCGGGAAGAGGTACCTGAGGTCCAGGCACGGGGAGCTGCCGCCCGTCTGCGTCAGCAGCAGCCTGTCTTCCCGCAGCGCCGCACTGTGAGCAGAAGGGCAAGGGGTCGCCTGTGAGGGCGGCCCCGGGAGTCCCCCGCCCGCCTCCACCTCCGTCGAGGGCCCCTGGGCCACCCGCCGAGCTTACTGGATGATGGGGTCCATGGCCGCGATGTGCTCGGCCACGATGAGGGACTCGCTGTAGGTCACGTCATTCAGCGCGGGCCCCGAGTTGCACGCCAGGACGACCTGCGGCAGACGGCCGGCGTTGGAGGGGCCGCAGCTGCCCCGGCACCAAGCCCCGCTGCCCGCCGCCCAGCTCCCCGCCGCCGGTCGCGGCCGGGTGGCCCGGAACACGGGGCCAGGCCAGCCCGAGCCCCGATGCTGCACCTACCTGCCGTGCCCCGAGGAGCGGCGCCAACCCCACCGAGAGCAGAGGAGCGGGCAAGGGTCCCGCGTGCAGCCCCCACACTCACCTCCGTCCCTCTAGACAGAAGCTCCCTGACAAAGGGGAAGACTCCCAAAATGACGTCTACTCCACTGTTATCTGCGAAAATTAAGGCACATTTGTGAGGGGGCCCCTGCAAGACAAAACCAGGACGTTCAGTTGGGAACAGGCGCGTCCAAGCGTTTCAGACCCTCCGCACTCCTCGCTCCCCGCGGCCGGGCCCTGGCTGCCGGGTCCTGCGGGCACCGGGCGGGGCTGCCTGGGCTTCCTCCAGAGCGGCGGCCCCGACGACCTCTGATCGGAGGTTGGCTGGCCCACTCGACGGTCCCCGCAAGAGTCAGGCTTGGGACAGGGGACAGCCAGCCCCGACGAGCAGCTGGGGGCGCCGGCAAGACCCTCGGGGACCCCGGGGCGCCCCCGCCCCCCGCCCCAGGCCCGCGTGCGGGCTGTGGTCCCGGGAGGGCGGGGGTGCGGCCTGTACCTTCAGCCTCTGCAGCCACCCGTCGTAGCAGTCCACCAGCCAGGGCCGCCCTGGGGACACGGCACGCTGTCAGCCGCGCCCCCGGCCGGCCGGAGTGGCCCTGCCCCCGCCCCCCGCCCTGCGCTGTGGGGGCGGGCCCCGGCTCCCCGCCCCCCGCCCCGCCGAGCCGAGTCCCACGGAGGCCGCCCTGGGTGTCCCTACCTTCCAGCTTCCTCTTTGCCTCCTCAAACCCGAACTGGGGGTCAGACTCCAGGACACTGCACAAGGAAAGAAAACCAGGTCACGAAACCCCAGCACCGCAGCTGACAGCTTACTGCGCGCCCCCGAGCGCAGGCAGGCCCACAAGGCCGCGGGGCGGGGGTGGGGCGCGCTCATTTCAGACCCAGGATCGTGTCCTGCCCGCGCCCCGTGGTGACCAAATCGGACTTTTGCCACTGGATGCCGCAGCCCCAAATCCATACCCTCGTCCGCCAGGCGCTGCTCTGGGGATGGGCAGGTGGCTGCCGCGTCCACTCCAATGGCGCCTGTGCCCCAAAGTCCCAAGCAGCTGCGAGTCTGCCGGGACCCCGGCCCCTCACTGCCACCGGATGGGCTGGAGCGGCCGAGGGCCGGGCTGCCCGCGGAGCGCCGACAGAGGCGCTGTGCGGGCGAGCAGGACCCAGAAGGAAGGGGCGGGGCCGCGGGCACCTACTTAGACACGGCCTTGGCTCCCCAGTCGAAGACGTTCCCAGCCAGCAGTCCCGTCACCAGGGCCAGCTGCCGCTCCTCCCAGCCCAGCGCGTCCAGGGCGTGGACCACCCGCTGGAAGCACCTCAGCGCCACGCCGTTCTCCTTCTGCTTCACCTGCCGGGGACGCGAGACCTGTGCTGTGAGTGACACGGGCCGCGCCTCCCCGGGCTGCAGACGCTCCCGCCTGTGGGCCGCTCGGGGGGCGGGGGGGGAAACGCTCGAGTGACACCGTGGCACTAGTTCAAACAGGCCAAGCCCTGGCCGGTGCGGCCCAGTGGACGGAGCGCCGGCCTGCGAACCGAGAGGTCGCAGGTTCAATTCCCAGTCAGGGCACAGGCCCGGGTTGCGGGCCAGGTCCCCAACAAGGGGCGTGTGAGAGGCACCCACATGTGGATGTTTCTCTTCCTCTCTTTCTCTCTCCCTTCCCCTCTCTAAAAATAAACAAAACCATAAGCCAAGGTCGGGCCGGGTTAAAAATGCTGCCGATGCCCCATGCCAGCGTACATGTGGGCTGCAGGTGCCGACACCCAGCATGCTGAAGCTGCGCGGGGGTTCTGGGGCACAGACCCGCGTGACTGAGGGCAGGCAGAGAAGGGCAGGACCCCCGGCACCCGATGCACCGACGGGTGGTCCTGCACGAGACCCTCCGGCCCCCTGCCCGAGGATGGGAATCGCCGCGCCCCGGGGGGCCCAGACCCCGCCTGCGGCTCCCCCGCACGGGGCCTCCGGGCCAGAGCAGCTCCTCCTGGGAGCAGCCTGGTGCCCAGGACCACCCGCTGCGAGACTCTGGGCAGCCCAGGAGGTGGGGGCAGAGGCGGGGCCAAGGCTAGGCACCCCCTCCATCAGAACCCAGGCGGCCTACCCCAAATTCCCACGACCCAACCTGCGGCCCTACAAAACCCCCCTGGCCGTGGCCCCACCCTGACTGGCCGCTGCGCAGAGCCCCCAGGAGACTTCTCTGCCCTGGGTCTCCAAGGGCCCCCGACCCACGGCTCTTCTGCAGAGGCTGCCCGCCAAGGGACCGCCAAGGGTCCCAGGGGGTGGGCTCGGGCCAGGGTGGCAGCTGGGGCTTGCCAGACAGGAGGCCTGTGTCCCTTGCACACAGGGACACAGGAGGCCCAGGAGGGTGGTGCTCACCTGGGAGTAGGGGTCTGGGAAGTTGAACTCATTCAAACAGTGCTCCCTCGTGTCCAAGAGGCTGCGCACAGTCAGGGTCCCGTAAGCACTGCGGACAGAGCCAGGCAGGAGGCAGCTGAGCAGGTGGACACACTGCCTGGTGGCAGCGGCCGCCACCCCCTCTGCTCCCAGGGACAGCGTCACAGCACCGAGGCGCCCTGGGCAGCAGGGGTGACACCTGGTGGACCCCGGCCTCACAGGGTGTCCCGGGCGCGAGTTCAGGGACCTGTGCCGGGGCATCATGGGCGCTCTCGGAGGGACCCCGGGCCCCGCATGGGCGTGCTCCCCTGCAGGGCCGCCCACGGCCCACCTGGGGGCGCCGCTGGCACCGGCGCCGGGCGGCCACGTGCATCAGTCCCCCTGGGGGGGCAGGACACTCACAACGGCTGGCGCCGCAGCGTCTGCAGCTTATCCCAGTACTTGTGCCGGAACTTCTCTGCCCTTTCAGCCGCGTCCACGGACCCCGGCTGGCTGGCCACTGCGCGCTTCACCACCTGCCGGGGCAGGGCGGTCAGCCAGGCCCCGTGGTGGCACCGTGCACGCAGGCGTAGCGGCTGCCACAGGCCTGTCTGCCCAGTGGGCCTGTCCACTGGGCATTCTCTGCGATGGGGAAGCAGGGGTCGCGGCTGCCCCGGCCCAGGGCCAACTTCAGAACGCAGGCTCGGCCAGGGCAGGGCAGGGCCCTCCCCTGAAATCAGACCACGGGGGCCTCTCGGGAGGGTCAGGGCCAGGACCTGCAGCTGGGCGGCTCGTCGACAGGGAGCCTCGCCGGCTCCGGGTCCCGGTGCCCGTCCTGACCGACCACCAGGAGCCCCGCTGCGGCCTGGGGAGCGCGAGCCAGCGGCCCAGCCTCCCAGCCAGGCCGGCAGCTGGAACCCCGCCCCTGTCTCCACACTCACGCCCCCCCCAACCCGGCAGGAGCCCCGGAGCCCGCGCACAACCTCCCTCACCCCGTCCAGCGCCTCCTCGAAGCAGGTGAGCCAGTACTTGCGGGCCAGGGCGTCGTCCGTGAGGTCAACTGTGTCGGGCACGTAGGAGGGCGGGTCCAGGAGCAGCGGCAGGTTGACCAGCGGCCTCTCCAGCCGGTCCATCTCCAGCAGGTCAAACTGCGGGGCGAGAGGCAGGCGGGCACGTCGGCTGCGGTTTCCCTCGAACACCAAAATGAGCTGTCCAATTTCAGACCCAACTTTCCTGTGAGGCGCTGAGAGGTTGGTCAGAGGTTGGTCTTGCAGAGAACGGGTGTGCCACCCTTCCTGTCTCGGGGCCTCGCCCCGCTGCGCCCCGCCTGGCCCGCGGAGCCCAGCTGTCACGTCTGGTGGCCCGGCACACGCCTGGGTCTGGGGTCTGCACCCACGCAAGGGCACACCCCCGCCGGCTCCAGCGTTGCCTGCCCCACACCAGCACTGCCGTCCGGCCAGCCCGGGCCCCTCCCCCGCACTCACGGCCCCAGACGTGCCGGTGGCTTCCCTGGGTGTCCTCCGCTGCAGGGCTCCCCCCACGCTGTCCACACTCAGCCCTCGTCCCGCGGTCCCTGCCCTGTGTCAGGTCCAGGGCAGGGCCACAGCGGCCCTGTGGGGCCAGGCAGCCCTGACTCCTTTCTCTCCACAGCACGTTTGCTGACCACACACCGGCGTCCGACACCGCCTCCCCCTGCCACACGCAGAGAGGGCCGGGCCCCCGTACCCGACGTGCCTCCTGTGCTGCGGGCCCCCACTGGGCTCCGCGTGTTTGGAATGAGTGGCCGCTCTCTCCACAGGCTCTGGGGCTCCCGCTGCCCTGCCAGACGGCAGCGCCCGCCTGGGTGCCCCATTCCGGTGGCTGGGCCCGCACTCCAGTCTGGTCCCCATGCGGGAGCCCGTGGAGCAGGACTAGTACCACCTCCGACAGGTCAGCACCGTGCGCCGTTGTTGCTGAGCCGGCCCGGGGCCGCCTGCCCTTGGGAAAGCCCGGCGGGGCCGCGAGCTGGAGGGCACTGCACGGGGCTCTGCCTCCCGGGAGCCGGCCGAGCGGGCGCGCTGCCTCGGGGTGCCCCTGTCCACGGCCAAGGCCAGCAGGCTGCTCGGGACGCGGTGCCCTGTCTGGTGCCCAGACCCGCCGCCTGAACTGTGCGCCCTGTTCGCCCGCATCACTCATGGGGTCACAGGCGACGTGCCCTTTGGGGTCTGTTGCCAGTGAGCCCGCAACGGCCCGTGACACGGTGTTGGCCAGGACGGCGCGGCGGCGGCGGCGTCGGCGTCTGTGCGTGAGGCGCCGCTGCTGCCGCCCAGCAGGCCGGTCCACCCCGGCAACGGGGGCCACCCCTCGGGGACCACGGGAGGGAGCCAGGCCGCGGGCGCCCGCGCGGGACCGGCAGGCCCAGACCCCGTACTCACGGTGCCGCTCGTCGTCCGCTGTGCGGGGCAGAGCTCGGGGGACGAGCCCCTCAGCCCGGAGCTGCCTGCGTAGTTCTCCCCCCAGCTGTACTGGTTCGGGTCTGCAGACGGGGCTGCCGTCAGCAAGGACCCCGAACGGGCGCCTCACACACGCCCTCTTCCCCACCCCGGGGGCGAGTCCCGGCCGAGGGCAGGACCCAGCAGGGCCACTGTGTCCCCCTGCGGAAGCTGAGGGGGCGGGCTCGATGGTTCAGTGGTCAGCACCCACCCCGTGACCTCCAGGCCCCCCTCCCCGCCTCCCGCCCCGGGCCCCGCCCACTCACTGTCCTGCTCCGCCCCTTTCAGGAACGCGCCAATGGCTCCCAGGTAGCCCTCGTGCCTCAGGAACAGCGCCTGGACCTCCCCCTGTGGCCACGAAACTGCAGCTGAAGCGGCCTGACCATGTGCACGGCTCCGGCCGACCAGCTCTCCCGTCTCCCCACAGCAGCTCCCCTGGTGGCTGGAGGGTCCCCTGGGGTCCCCTGTGACTGCTCAGCACAGGTGCACTCAAGTGCAGGGTTTAGAAGCCTGTCATTTGGAAATGACTGAGGTGAACAACTTTGACAAAATGAACACCTGCACGTCTGCCCCCGCCTGCCAGGGGTGGGGCCCACGGCCCGGCCCCACAGGACGGCCCCCCAAGCTCCTGTGGAGCGCTCCCACAGCGGCAGGCGGTCCCCAGAAGGCTCACTGTGGCCCAAACTCAGACACCGCCATGTGCTGCAAGTGCAGGACCTCGCCAGAGGGCAGGGGCAGAGGCCAGGCGGCCAGCGGCCTGCGGCCCGTCCGCCCGCCTTCAGGCCCCCGCCCCGTGGGTGGGTGGGTTTTGAGGACACCGCGGGTCCACACTGGAGCGCCCGGGAGGCGCAGAGCCTTGGTGGCGGCGGGCGGCGGCAGCGCGTCTGGTACCTTGGAGAAGAAGTTGATGCTGTAGGTGATGGTGCGCATGGTGACGGGGTGGCCGCGGATGAAGAAGCCGCCGAAGTACACGCGGTCCAGGCCGTGCAGCCTGGCGTAGAGGCAGGCGAGCTGCCCGATGTCGTTGCTGATCATGTGCAGCAAGCTCTTGGCCATGTCCTCCTGGGAGAACTCTGGGGGAGGGGCAGAGGCCGGGCTGCTGGGCCAGGAGCCGCCTGAGCAGCGGTGGGCGACGGGAGGGAGCCGGGAAGGGACAGTACCTTGGTCAGTGGTGGCCGACTTCCCGAAGCTGCTGGCGATGAGGTTGCCGCTGAGCCCCAGGGTCTGGTGGGCCCCGCCGTAGATGTCCTGCACCAGCATGTCCACGTTGGCGTGCTGGCCCCTGGAGGCCAGGAGCAGCAGCTCGTCGAACTTCTGCAGGGGCGGCCAGGCAGGGGCAGGTGAGGCGAGGGAGCGGACCCCGTGCCGACGCCAAGCCCATGGAGGGAGGAGCCGTGCGGGGGGGGGGGGGGGGCAGGGGCGGTGGGCAGGCAGCGCGCTGGGATCGCGGCCGAGCTGTGCTCAGCCGGCCAGGCGCTGTCCTTCAGGGACCCCGGAGAGAGTCAGCGAGCTACGAAGGAGCCCCTTTCATGACAGCCCCAGCCCAGCGCAGCCTAGCGTCCCCCAAGCGGCAACGCTTCCCTGAGAGGAGTCAGGGACGCCGCCGGGTACCTTCGTTTTGGTGAGCAGAGCCCCGAGTCCCCAGAAGGTGCCGCCTCCGATGGAGCTGCCGCCGATCCACTCGAACCTGTCCTCAGTCTCCACCTGGGGACAGAAGGCAGGCGGGTGCACCGGCCACCCCCCCGCAGGGCCCTCCTGGGCACACGATGCCCAGGGGTCTCCCCAGACCTGTGACAATGCTCTGAAGGCCACGTCTGAACGGGCTTGGCAGAAGCTGATGTTGGGAGCCAGGGCCCCTCCCCATGGACGGCCCACGGGGCGTTCTGTGCGCGGCTCCTGCCGTGAGCGCTGGAGCCAGGCCAGCGTCCGGTCTCCATGTCCCCGCGCCCAGCCCCGCTCAGACGCACAGCGAGTGCCGGACAAGCCTGCGCTGAACCGCCTGGCGCCACAAAGCCCCGCCTCACCTTCACGATAGACACCCCAGAGCCGATGTTGACTAAAAGATACGGGAAAATGTTGGGGTGATTCGTCTGAAATCGGAATTCGGGGTCGGAATCCTTCTGATACACGAAGGCCTCGTGTGGGATGTTCTTTAACACAAAGTTGCAGCCCTTTATCAAGCATGTCATCACGTCCTCCTTGTCGACTCTGTGAGGGGAGGAGCCGGGCGCTGGACCAGCAGGCCACAGGGAGGGCCCCGCCGCTCTGCCGGGCCACGCTCCGCTCCTGACCCCAAAGATGCACAGGCTGAAGCGCCGAGGCCCCTGTGCACTCACGGAGACTCATGGTGGCTGGGCCAGCACCTCCAGCCTCCTGAAGCCCCGGCACTTCCCCCTACACATGGCTCCGCCCCCACGGCGGGCTGTGGCCTTGGGAACCTCTGCCCAGTGGGATGGGGGGCATCGCTGGCACAGCAGGCACGTGACTTCTTGGGGCTCACTTCCTTCCTTGCCTCTTCCCACGTACCCACCACCGGGATCCTGCTGTGGCCGGGTGCACCAGCCTCCCAAAACCTCACTACAGTTGTGGGGTATCAGCAGCCCCCAGAGTGGACGGGTGCAGGAGCGGGGTCTCCCTCGGCTAATGCAGCTTCAGAGCCCGACCCCGAGAACTGAGAGCCCTGGGCCTGCGGCCCCGCTCACTTCAGCCGCAGCTTCTCTTCGATGAGGTCCTTGAACTTGTACGCCCCGCCCCCGGTCGCCTGGATGACCTTGGTCTCCGTGTTGACGAGGTGGTCTTTGATGAAGTCCAGGCAGGCTTCCATGTAGGTGTTCTCAAACTTGACGAAGTGCAGCCGGGCGGTCACCTCCTCCTGCACGGAGATCTCATAGGGCGACTCGCGGTCCTGCTCCGCATCCTGGGGTCAGAGCGACGGGGTCTGCGTGGGCACACGCTGGGCGGGGGCGGTGCTGAGAGGAGGTCGCTACGCACCCACCCAGCAGCGCCAACCTTCTCCGCCCCGAGATGGGCAGCAGCAAGGAGCGCGTGCCAGCGGGGGAGGTGCTCCTGCCGGGTGGGTGTCTGAGGACGCGGCCTGGGGGGTGCCAGGAGGGCGGCAGCGGTGCCGGCACCAGAGGCTGCTGGGACCTGAGCTGCCGTGAGGGCAGCATAGGGTCAGCAGCTGGAGACGAGACGGGTGCCAGGCCCAGACCCCAGGCCGCTGGCACCGGTGGCCGCCCTGGGGCTGACCCCGGAGCCCACCAACCTGGATGCCCGGGAGGCTCACCTGGCCCGAGAGGTCGAAGGACCTCACCCTGGCGACTTTGTGCTGGACGGTGGAGTAGTAGGCCAGCTTGGTCAGCGAGCCACCTGCGGGTGGGTGGGACACAAAGGCATCCGTTGAGAAGCAGGTGGACGGGACTGGAGCTCAGCCCTCCACAGGCCCTCCTTCCCCAGACCTGGGCGGTGGGCCCAAGGCACCTGCTGCCACTGGCCCTGAGAGACCCTGCGGGCCCAGGTGGAGGAGGCACGGCCCCAAGGCCGCACGCTCCGCTCCTCTGAGCAGGCCCGCCCTTCCCAGTCCCGGGCCAGGCTGGGCTGGAGGCTGTCTGCTCGCCTGCCCACCGCGGAGCATCCTGGGGAGACAGGAGACAACCCGTCCTGTGTCAGCCTCTGTGCACAGTAGCAGTTTAGGAAAATTCTGTTTCAAGCTCTGATCTTGAAAATGACCCGAAGGAAAAGCTGATGGAGTCACTGCTGCCGCGGGTCAGCACATGCTCACCTGCCCGCGGTCACGCGCGGGGAAGGGCAGGAGGGCTTTCCCAGTGCAAACAGGCAGCTTCCGCCAGGACCACCCACGGCCTCGGCCCGAGAGCGGCAGGACCACCCTCCACGGGCCCGGGCCACGGGCGAGTGAGGGCAGCATGGCCTTGTCCCCACGGCCGGGCCTGGGACACAGCCAGAGACCAGGTGGAGAGGGCTCACTCCCACAGCACTGTTTCCAGGGCCCAGCTCTGGGGGACCCTCTGGGTCAGACAGAGGCGCCCGCGGGGCTCCAGGGACAGCCGCGGCTGTGACGGCCCGCAGGGGGCAGGCCCGAGGGGAAGCGACCGCTCACAGCCACAAAATGACTCGAAGCAGAGGGTTTTTGGGGGCCCAGCAAAGGTAACGCAGACGCTGCCGTGATGAGGCGAGGCGGACAGACGTGGCCGACGGACAGCTGTCTGTGAGGGTGCGAGAAGCGCCCAAGCCAGCGCGCGGACGTGGGGACACCGAGGCCGGCGAGGGCCACGCTCTTCCCGGTCGCAAGACGCGCCGCCCTTTCTGCCCACGATGCGCCCAGCAGTGCGGCCCCGACCACGGGCTCTGCCACGACTGCGTCCCGCTCCCCAGGAGCGCGCAGATGGGGCCGGAGTGCGAGCGGGGACGTGCGGCACAGGCCACTCGGCTGGGGCAGGGGGAGCTCTGGGGGCCTTTGGGGGGCAGGAGCTCAGTGGTGCTGGGGGTCCCCGGCAAGCAGAGCGAGTGCCGACCGTACCGGGCCAACACGCCCACCGGTGCCGGCACCAGCCTGCGCCCTGGGCCCGCCTTCCGACCGAGGCCAGGCCTGCCCGCAGCTCGCTGCAGCGCCTGAGCCAGCACCTCTGGTTCCCGCAGACCGCCGTCCAGCCTGCCGCCTCTCTGACGGGGGGCGTGGGACGCACGTCGCTGCCCAGCAGGCCCTGCCACTTCACCAGAGGGACGCTTCTGCTGCCTGTCAGGTGTGTGTGGACGGGCGAGAGTCCCTGGCATCCCACTGCCCCGGGGCCGTCGGGAGGCGAGGGCCGGCCGAGAGCACAGGGCCCTGAGCGTTCCCAGTGGAGCGGCGCGGGCAGGGGCAGAGCAAGCAGAGGAGCCTGTCTGGGAGCCAAACTGCAGACACATGCACAGGCCGCGGGACACCGGGCTGAGTGGCACTGACAAACAAGGGGCCCGTCCTTGCTGACGATGACACGCCTTTGAAGAACAGGACATGGGACCCAGACCGGACAGAAACCTCCAGGAGAGGAAATAAACACTGACGCTAAAAATATCCCTTTGCGCGTCCTCTGCCAAGGAACCCCACCTGGGCTTGGCCCCGGACGACGGCCGCTCCAGGCCTCCCGGGCCATGCCTTCCTCTGGGGGTCACACCGAAGGCCCAGGTGGGCCCCGTGGCAAGTGCCCTTTCAGCTGCGCCTCAGGAGCAAGACAGGCTGACTTGCTCCCTCGCAGCAGAACCCCCCGGGGAGGCAGAGCAAAGTCCAGACCTCACAACTCACTCCCGCCTGGCCACCTGTCAGGTCCCAGCGTGGCCCCGAGGGGCTGACCGGAACCTTGGAGAGCTCTCGTCCTGGATGACCCCCTCCGCGGGGCTCCCACGTCCACCATCTCCAGCGCCCCCTCCAGGCGGGCGCGGCATTCTGCCAGGTTTCCACGGACGGATCCTCCGCCCTGATCGGCGCTGGCCGCCGACACCCGCCCCCGCCCCCCCACCAGGCAGTCTCACACCTGCCACCAGGCCAGTCCCCCAGGCCCCTGGGAGCCCCCCCTGGTTTGCAAGATGGGAGCGCTGGCCCCAGCCGCATTTCCACTGGCCGCTCCCCGCTTCCTTGAGAGCATCTTCCCCCAGGCCTGTGACTCAAGTGACCTCCAAGAACCCGGCTGGCTCTACCCGATGGCCCAGCTTCTCTGGGCGTGAAGGTCCAGTCCAGCAACTACTGAGCAGCAGCCATGAGTCAGGTGCGGTGCGGGTGCTAGGGCCGGACAGCGGACACTGCCCGCGCGGAGGGGGACAATCACAGACTCAGCTCGGGCTGCAGCCCAGGTCCCGCCGAGGGGAAGGTGCCGAGTCGCTGCGGCCAACACAGCGGGTCTCCCCGCACGCAGCCCGCCCCCAGGAAGCCCTCCGTCCTGGTACGCGGGCAGGGCGGCGGCGCGGCCGAGGGCTGGCCGCCTACCAGCTAGGTGACCTCTCCCGCTTCGTGTCCTCATATGTGACAGGGGGCGGACTGCGTGCGGGGAAGGCGCCCGGTGCAAGCAGCAGGGCAGGGCCTGAGAGCGGCGGGGAACGGGGCGGCAAGAGCGGTCCCTGGGGGCTCCCCCGCAGGCCGCCGCAGATCCGGAGGCTTTGACTGGAGGCCGGCAGAGGTTCCGAGGTCCCACGTCCAGGCCGTCGAAACTCCCGCCAAAAGGCCAGCGCCCGAGAGCAGGGCCTGCTGGGCTGGGCTCCGGGCGGCCGCCGGGGACTCCCGCGGCCACTGCTGGGGCTGCCGCCGCCTGTCTCACGGCCCCGGCCATCGGGCCCGGCCCTGCTGCCGGCCGGGACCGCCACCCCCGCGCCCCGAGAGGCCCCACGGCGCCGCCGACCCTCCCCAGGCGGGACTACGAGGCCCGGCCTGCCTCGCTCCGGCCGCGCGGCGCCTGCCGGGAGCTGTAGTCCGGTCTCCGCGGCGGGCGCGCGAGCCGGCGGCCCGCGGACTACGAAGCCCGTCAGGCCCTGCGCGCCGGCGGTCCGCGCCCCGCCCTTCGTCCTTGCCACCGCCCCCGGCCCGCCGACCCCGCCGCCCGCGCCCACGCCCGCGGCGCGCCGCCGCGCTCCCCGCGTCCGCCCGCGACTACCGATGTCTATGGCGAAGCGCTTGGCGTTCTCCAGGTTGCGGAAGATCTCGTCGGGGGGCAGCGTGATGCTCTTGTCCAGGCTGTCCCCGCTGCTCCCGCTGCCGCTCGCTCCACGCTCCGCCATTTTGAATGTGCCCGGCCAGCCTCATCAGCCATGGAGATATATGCGCATATATTTGACTGATAAACGCCTCCCGCGCATAAATTATGCTAATAAGGCGCCGGGCCCGCCCCCCGCCCCGCCCGCCTACGTGGTCTGGGCGGCTGGAGGGCGATTGCGGCCTGCCCGGCCGGGAAGGGAAACCAACGCTAACCCTCTGCACTGTTGTCGTCTGAGCCTCTGCACTGTTGTTTTTGTTTTTTCGCCGAGCTGGCCGGGACTGACCTCAAGTGCTCTGAGGCAGGGCCGAGGGGGCACCTGGGGCTTGCAGACTACCAGAGACCTGCCTCCGCCTGCGAGTACGGCTGTAAACCCAGCGCCTGCACGGGAGGGAAGGCACACGTGACCCATCGCCGGGGGCTCCAGGGATGCTGAGTCGTCCGTGCCAGACGGGGAACTGGGGACCCTGCCCTCCTGGTGCCCCCAGTCCAGGGTGGGAGGTGCACCTGCAGCTGGGGAGGATGTGTGCTTTGGTGGCCAGTTCGCAGAGAGTTCAGGGGAGCCCGCCTGGAGGAGGCTGCCTGCCGGCAAGCAGGGGAATCTACGCAGTCTGCAAGGAGCAAGCTGAGAAAGCTCCCAGAGCCGCAGCAGGGACACATGCGGCTGTGCGGCCGGCGTTCCCGGGCCCATTGCTGGGACGCCCTCCCTGGCCTGGGGACCCTAAAGAGATGTGTCCCCCTGAGCCACACTGGGTGCTTTGGGAAGGAACCCAGTGTTGGGAGGAGACAGAGGGCCCATCAGTGGCTTTGGCACCTGTCGCCTAGGTGACCCTAGGCCGGTAAGGTCCCTTCTCGGGACCTCAGCCACCTCCTGAGCCTGCTTCCAGGCGCCTGGCAGGGCTGCCGGAGCCGGGGCCCAGGAGCTGCGCAGAGAGCTCCGGGGCCGTGCGCAGGAGGGGCCGGTGCGTCTGGGCATCAGGCGGGGTGGAGGCAGCCTTGTAGGCACCTTCTAAGGGGGTGGAGGTGTGTGCGGCCCTGGGCGGGGGCGTGGGGGGGGGAACTGGGGTGCAAGTATGCAGAGGGTCTGCTCCCTAGAGGTTCCCAGACATCCAGGACCCTGGACAGTGGGACACCTGTGGGCCAGCCTCGCCGGGAGGCACACCCGACCCCACTGGTCTGTCTTCCTGTCCCGAACGCAGTAAAGGCTGGGGGTGGAGGAGGAGGCTCCTGCCCCCTTGCTCACCACGCCTGCCCTGGGGGCTCTGCTCAGCCTCACCCCAGAGACCACTGACAGGCACTGGGCTGGCCTGGAGGGGGCGCCAGTGGACACGCCCTTCCCGAGCAGATGGAAAGGGACAGAGGACGGGGAGAAGTGCCAGAGCAGGAAGGAGGAAGGGCCGGCGGGGCCCGCGTCTCTGAAAACAGCGCCTTCTGGCCCCACGTCCGCCTCTTTCCGCTCCCCGTGGGGTGGACTCGGCCCCTTGGCAAGCCAGGGTGCCTCTAGATCCTGGCAGACTCGACCAACACCCGGCAGCCTGCCTAAAAATAGTCGCCCTTTCTGAGACAAGGGGCCGCCCTTGGCAGGTCCAGCGCCGGCACTGCCGGCCCCAGCCCGGGCGTGCGGTCCGCCTGCAGGGAGGGCGAGGAAACCGCCTGCGGGCTCGCCCAGCAGGTGCCCCCCGGGCGCGTCCAGGGGTCAGTGCTGCTGGCCATGTGGGAAGGGTCAGGGTGGGGGCAGACGTTTTCTACTGGGTGTTTGGCCCAGCTAGACCCCTTTTGTTGCTGCAACAGCTCCAGGGCTGCCTGTGGCCTTCAGGTCCCCTCAGCAGGACAGAACTGGGAGGGCATGTGGCTGTCCCCTTGCTCTCACCCCACCTACAGGGAACTAGGGAGAGTCCAGGGGCAGGAATCCAGGTCTCTGGTGTGTTCTCTCCCCCCTGGCCCCCGCACACGGGGTGACCAACATGGGCCGCGAGGCTGTCTCCTTCCCGCCTGCCTCTCCACTCTGCTCCCAGCTTCACCCTGCCTCCCCGCCCAGCCCCCAGCCCTTCCGAGAGTCCCACCCATGGTGGCACACCCCGTGGTGCTGCCTCCCCCTCACCCCTGGAGCCCCGCATGCCTGGTGGCACAAGAGACGGACAGCAGAGGACTGACCAGTCATATTTTATTGGAAGTCTGCAGAACAGCCCCGTGGCTCCCACGTGGCCGAGTTCAGATTCTGAGTACAAAGTCAAGCCCGCGCGTGCTCCCCCGCAGAGGGACCCTTCAAGGATCGCGGTGGAGACCCCCGCCCTCCCCCACAGCCCCCTGTGAGCCCTGACCGGACAACCCCGCCCGCCCCGCGGCCCGCGGGTCGTGGCTCTGCGTGGTCCCCTCGCGCCCATCCAGGCTGACACTTTCCTATGAGGATGCACCTAGAGTTCCGCCTTCACAAAAGGCAAATGTGCCGGCGAGCACGCCCGCCCACCAGGCCCGCCGGCCCAGCAGCGAAGGGCCCTGAAGAAAGTCCTCTACTAGCAGGGGCGGGGAGCCCCTGATGCCTACGAATGTCATAGAACCCCCGGCGGCGGGGACTTCCCAGAAGTCACTTGCTGAAATGCAAACACGGAACAACCCCATGGGGTCAGACGCTTGGCAGAAGGTGGGCCCTGATTGTCCTACATGACGAGGACTCTGCACGCACATTCTTTGAGAATGACCCTACCGCTGGCCTGCCAGCCTGGAGCGAGCCTTTGCGAGAAGGGGCCGTCCAAGTCCCGGGTGGCACAGGCGGACGGGAAGGCTCTTCCCAGGCGCCGGAGGAGTCGCCAGCCTTCCGTCCCGGGCGGCAGCCCGCGCCTCCCGCCGGGTCACCAGGGCCTCCAGAGGCCGCAGGAGGACTGGTGCGCGGCGGCGCTGGCCTTGGCCGGGGCGGGCGCCGGCACCTTGGGCTCCTTGGCGGCGGCGCCAGGTGCGGCTGGCGGTCGCTGGAAGTGGCAGAGCAGCTTCATCTGCGTGTCGCTGGCCGCGTGCAGCGTCAGGAACTGCACAGCCTCTTGCAGGCACCACGAGTAGCCCTCGCTGTAGTCCTGGTGCAGGCTCTGGGGGCCGGCGGCGGCGAAGGCTGTGGGGAGACCGGCGGCCGTGAGCGCGGCGGGGCGCGGCGGGGGCGCGCGGGGCGCGGCCGGGGCGCGCGGGCGGGCTCACCTTTGCTGTGCTTCAGGTAGCTGACAGCCATCTCCAGGATGTCGGCCTTCTCCAGCTTGGAGTTGGGCTGGTGCCGCGCGAACTCCTGCTCCAGCAGCAGCTTCAGCTGCTCGATGCTGCTGTTGATGCGGTCGCGGCGCATCTTCTCCACCACGGGCTTCCGCAGCTGCGGGGGCAGGGGCGTCAGGGGCGGCCGCGGGCGGCGCGGGGCGCGGGGGGCGGCGCGCGGCGGGGTGCGCACTTACTCGGTTCTTCTCTTTGGGGCTGAGCAGCTCCACGGCCACGGTGCTGGGGGCCATGCCTGCGCGGAGAGAGGCGGTCGGCGAGCGGGCAGCGGCGGGCGGGCGGCGCGTCCGGGCGGCGCGAGCCAGCCCCTATATAGGCGCGGGCGGCGGGCTGGCGCCTGGGGCCCGGGCGCCACGGCCGTTCCCACACTCGGCGGCCAATGGGGGCGCGGGCCGCACAAAGGCGCCGGCCCATTAGCGCACGCTAAATTGCCTGTGAATTGGCGCGGGCACAATGGGAGCTCCCCGAGGAGCAGGTGGGCCGCGCGGCACAATGTCCGGGCTGTGGGAACGCGCTCGCCCTCATTAGCATCCCGGGCCTGACGCTGGGAGCCCCGCGCCTCAATATGCCGCCTTTTCCCAGGCTGTGGAGACCAGGGGGGCAGGAAGGAACGACCTCTCCCCTCCCCTTCTCCCGCCCCCGCCCTCCTCCCCCTCCCCAGCGACGCCCTGCTGCTGGCTGGCAGAGGCCGCAGTGCCGGTGAGGGGGAGCTTTAGGATGAGCAAATGCAGTGGCTTCCAGGGCGGTGGGCACCCTCCCTTGCAGACCCGCTGCCCCCTGGGGGCAGGGGACCAGACGAGGCCATGCTTCTGCTCAGGCACCTCCACCTCCCTGTGCAGGGGTGGCCGAGGGACCCACGCTCTTAGGCTCGCACCTCCTGGCCTCTGTGGCATGTCCCCAGGATATCACCTGGGACACGTGCCTTCTCCAGAGCTAGGAGATGGGCGGCCATGCCTCCCCGGCTGGGCCGGGGGAGCTTTGCAGGACCGGCCCCTAGGCTGCACCCCGAGACCATGCACCTGGGGAGGCCGCAGGAGGCCTGGTGCGCCCAGCCAGCGGGTGCCCCTGGGCCCCTGGCCCGGCCCGGCCCAGCCCACCTGGTGGGGCGTCTGCCCCCGGGGAGGCCACAGCACACGGGTGGGCACCGGTTCTTGGTCACTTGGTCACCGGTTCTTGGTCACTGCTCACGCATGCCTGGCCGGGCGGGCACCCGCAGGGTTTGCTTTCCTTGGACGTTTCGAGGGCGGGGTGTCAGGCAGCAGGCCTGCAGGTTGGAGCAGGGCAGGAGGGCCGTGCCAGCTCCGACGGGCCCCCTGGGGACCCAATGGAAAGATTGACAATCCTGGTACCTGGCCAGCCCCACCCTGGGCCCCTAGGAGAGCGCCTCTGGGCGGCTCCTGTGCCTGGAGCAGCCCCGTGCTCTGATTCTGGAGCCAGGAACCCAGCTGTCCGGTCGGGACCGAGGGAGGGGCGGAGCCGGGGCTGGGCACCTCCACGGGGCCGGGGGGCGCAGGCAGGGCCTCAGGAGTCGCGGCTGGCAGCGGGGCGCTGTCGCCAGACTGGACCCAGGACCCAGGAGCGCCGGCCCCTGGGCGGCAGACCCTCCCTCCCCGGGGCCTTGGCAGCGACCCAGGCGCGCGCAGAAGTCCGCCCCCCACTGCACACAAGGAGCCTCTGGTTACCAGGGAAGGGCCCACCCGGGAAGCAGGCAGGACGGTGGCAGGACAGCCAGCACAGGCTTGGCTCGGGGACAGCACCGCATGGCCCCGCAGGCCAGCTGGTCCCCACTGGGGTGAGTTGGGGGGTCCCAGGGTGGGACCTTCAGGTGGCTTTGGGGGAGGAGGAGAGGCAGCCCCTTTCCACCCTCGGGTGGCTGGTCCTCCTGCTCCTGCCCCTCGCTTGTGCCTCACTTGAAAGGGACACGTTCCCAGAAGGGCTGCAGGGAGGCAGGTGACACTGGGCGCCGAGGCGGCCTTGCTCTGGGCGGGGCCCTTCCCTGAGCGGTGGGGACCCCCCCTCAGGTGCGGGCCCTCGTGTGGTGCAATGGGCAGCAGGTGCCAGGGCTGCCCCGTCGGTGTGGGCTGACTGCGGCCCCAATGCAGCGGTGCCCAAGGGGGCGTTTTTGCAGCCAACGTGGAGCATGTGCGCAGCATGTCCCCGGGGGTGGGCGGGCAGGATCACTCAGGTGGCTGTGTCCCTATGGGCCATGTCCTGCCAGCTGGGGGCCTAGCACCCGGGAGGCGCTTCCTCAAGGGCTGCGGGGGCGCAGCACGGGGCAGGTTGGCCTCCGCCCATAGGAAGCCCCGCCGGAGCCCCCCTGGGGCCAGGCGGCCTGGCTGCTGGCGGTCAGGGCCCAGGGCGGCACCCAGGTGGGCCCTCCACCCGGCCACCCCAGCTGCGGAGAGGGCGATGGGCGGGCGCTCGTGCCCTGCGCCGGCCCCTCTTCCGAGCCAGCTCCCGGCCCGAAGGAGACACGTGCCCGGAGCCCCGGTCCAGCCCCCACGCACCCCAAGTGCTCGCCCCCCTGCCACGGCCAGGGCGGCCGGCCCGAGGCAAGGCTGGGCCTGGCGGCTGCCTCCTCCCTCCCCCAGCCCCCCCCCCCAGGCCGGAGCAGCTTTGATCCAATTTTCGGTTGTGGGAAATATGAAATGAATGGTGTTAAATCCCTGCCCGGCTGATGAAAGGCTGGCTCCCGCCCCGAGTGTGGGCCAGATGGCAGCTCGGGCCTCCAAGGCACACGCCTGGCCTTTGTGGGCCGCTTAGCACCGTGAATGGGGCCGAGGTGTGGGAAACTCGCGGGCTCCTGGCTCACGCCGCCCAAGGTGAGTGGCTGCCGGCTGGGGGGAGGGGCTGCCGAGGGGCAGGGCGCTGGGGGCCGGCCCCAGGCTGCCAGGCTTTGCGCGCCAGCGCCTGGAATGGGGGGGAGGGGTCCGATCTCTGCCCGCTACCCCGGCAGCTGGGGAGGGGTCCTTCCTCCGGCTGAGGCTCTGAGGACCAGGGGAGCTTGCCCTCCACCGCCACCCCCACCCCCGCCTTGCTCCGTAGGCCTGAGAGGCGGGCGGGGGGAGGGGGTTGCTGGGGCGAATGCTCCCCTAGAGACGGCCGGGGAGGCATCGCTGAGCTAGAATCCAGGGACTCAGGGCCAGAGCCCGACTCTACACAACCCTAAGGCCCGGCACCGCCCGCCCCGGGCCGTCTGCGGAGCACAGCGTTCGTTCCGGGGGCCGAAGGGGGACTTCGGGTTGCGTGTGGTGTGGCCGCTGTGGACCCAGCCCGGAGGTCCCTCAAAACTTAGACCTGGAGCAACCACGGGACCAGCAATCCCATGGCTGGGTGTGTCCCCCAAGGAATCAAAACGGGCTTGAACAGACGCTGGCCCCCGCGTGCGCAGCGGCCCCGTGTCCGTGGAGGACGGACACACGCGGGGTCCGTCCACACAGGGGAGCGTTACGCAGCCCTAAAAAAGGAAGGGAGCTGTGCCGCGTGGAGGACGTCCTGCTGAGTGACATGAGCCAGTCACAGGAGGACAGGGACCGTGCCACTCCACTCACAGGAGGTCCCCGGAGGGGTCAGACCCGCGGGGTCGGAGAGCAGATGGCGGTGCGGGGGCTGGGGGAGGGGCGGGGGGAGTGTTTGATCGGGACAGAGGTCCCGATCAGGAAGGTGGAAAGTTCTGGAGAGGATGGTGGTGGCGGCTGCTGGACAGTGAGACCGTGCTTAGTGTCCCCGAGACGAGCCACACACCCCCTCCCCAGCCAGGCAGCCCCAGCCTGTGGCGGCCATCGGCACTGGGCTGCCCAGCGCCCCGCCAGCAGGGCTGGTCTGAAGGGCGCGCGGCCATGCCCAGCCCGCCCCCGGAGCTGGGGTAGGTTCTCCGGAAGAGGCTGTGCCCTCGGCAGGTGCCTGGAAGCACCGTTGGCCCCTGTTTGGCTGCTTCTGGTCTCAAGAGGGTTCCCGGCACAGAGCACGGGCAGGTTGCGGAGGATCGCGGGTGAGGGCAGCCTCCTGGGGGAGGTGGGACAGGGTGACCCGCAGTGGCACACTGCCCCAAGTCCAGGGCCGCCCTAGGGCCGCGGACTGTGTGTGACACAGGGACAGGCACCCCCGGCAGCTGTTCGGCACCACGGCCCTCGCCGGGCACCTGTCCACACAATGCTGCCCCCTCCTGGCCTCCCGCGGCTCCCGGCAGGGCGCCAGGCCGCCCTCCCCCTGCCCGGCCGCCCCCTGCGGCCTCAGCCTGCACCCGGCCTGCAGGGAGGCGAAGGGCCAGGCCCCGCGGGGGCTCCTGGAGGGCTGCTGGGTGGGCCCCGGGGGAGGCGGGGCTGGGGTCTCCTCGGGGACCGACCGGCCAGCAGCTGGACGGGGTCAGAGTGCCTGAGCGTCTACGCGGCGCCAGGTGGGGACCCGCGGTCCGACTTCTCTGAGCAGCCCTGCAAGGACACACAGGACCCGGAGGGCCACGGAGGCGAGCGGACGTGCCCGGGGTGCTGTGAGCGGGGACAGCGGCTGCTGTGATGAGGAGGAGGAGGATGACGCGGAGGAGGAGGAGGAGCGGGCGTCCGTGAGCGTCTGTGAGGCGTGAGGCGCACCCCCAGTGCGGACTTGAGGACCAAGCGCTCCGGGAGTGGCGGTGCTTGTTGTCCCCTGGGCCTGGCGGCCCCGGGCACTGCGAGGCTGCTGAAGCCACAGGCAGGTGGGTGGGGGTCGGAGCTGGGACTTGGCTCAGAGGTTGCCTTCCTCCTTCGGGAGCAGCCAGAGAGAGGCGGGCTGGGGGCAGGGGCAGCGGGGGGTGCCGAGCCCCGGCGGGGGCCTGGCGTGCTCCCGTGAGGGGCTGCGCGGCGGGGCTGGGGCACCTGGGGAGGGCGGCTGCTTCTCCCCAGCAGGGCGGGCCCGGGCGGCGTTGCGGGTGGGAGTGGCCCCAGGCGGGACAGGGGGCCCAGCGGCTCCACGCGGCCTCCGCGGCGGCCTCCGCGGCTGGGAACGCGGAGTGCAGGGTGCTGGGGGCGGCCCGTCGAGGCCAGGAGGAGCCCCGGCCTCCGCCCCCCACCCAGCTCCCGCCTCAGCTCCCGGCACCCCCTCAGCCAGACCTGGGGCTCTCGTACCTCCATTTGCCGCACTGTGGGACCCTGTCCCCGGGGGCAGAGGCCTGGGCTGAGAGGGGACTGAGGACAAGGCTGACATAGGGGCTGGGGAGACCCTGACCCGCAGGAGAGAATTTGGGGGTACAGATTGA